CTGCTCGCTGGCAAAAGACCCTTTTTGTTATTTGGCCGCCGTGTGCCCCGCGGCGGCATCAACATTAACGCGCTTCGTTGCTGCTCGCCCCATAATCCTTTCAATTTTTAAATCATTTTTTATTTCTGCCTTTTGGCTGCAACCCGAACCCTTACCCTGCCCTGCCCTGCCCTGCCTTGGCCTGCCCTGGCTTGCCTTGCCTTGGCCTGCCCTGCCCTGCCGCTTGATGCCTTTTGTGAAGTCGTGCGACCCTCGCCGCAAATATTTATAAACGAAACGTGTGCATTTCGTGCTTATTTGATTGATGCGCACTGTCCAGTCCAGAGGAGCCGCAGCTTGCCCCATTCGGCACGCCCAAAATTCAGGGCAGCCATCTCTAACGACAATGACATGTTTATCCCCAAATGCCAGGCGGCATTCAAAAGCCAGCCATTTACACCTTTAAAGCTCTCTCGTTCGCAATTTCATCAATTACTGCATCTAATCAACTCGTTAAGCCGCAACTCCGACACCTGCAGACACCTGCAGCTGACCAACAACAGCAGCAGCAGCAGCAGCAGCAGCAGCAGCAGCAGCAGCAGCTGTGTGGCAGGGGCAGGCACAGACGCTGTGGTAATTACGAAAATGAAATCAGTCCCAAGGTAAGTTTTATGCTGAGCACACTCAATGCTCCAATGATTGTAGAGGAGGGTGGGGGGGGGGGGGGGGGGGGGGGCTGGGGGATGGCGGAGGTGAGTTTGTGGAAGTGCCATTGAAGCTAGATTTCCGATTGAGTCTCTCTCCCCTCTCTCTCCTCTTGCAGCTGCAAAGAATTTCGCTTGCACTGAACTTAATTGAATATGAGGACAATAAAGAAATGCAAAGTACTGAAATATCTGAGCAACGAGCTTTGACAGCTCACGGAAGTTTTTTTTAACTATATTCAATTTGGCTGAAAGCTCAGTGAATTATTTGAAAGTAATTAGTAAAAAGTAGCCTTGGCCAACGTTTGTCACTTTTGGAAGCTTTAAAAGCACATTTAAGCTATCTGCTGAGCTAATTGGCAACACTCAATAAAGCTTAAAGCTCATTAAATAGCAGTTAAAAGTAGTTAGTAAAAAGTAGCTTTGGAAAGCTTGTTTCATGTAAAGAATCTTTGAAAGCACATGAATGCTTTACGATGAGTTGATTATCTTCACTTCATTTGTCAAAAGTTCTAGAGTAATTGAAAGCTTTTAGTTAAATGAATTGTCTAAATCACGCAATCAAGCTCTGTGTAGTAAGTATGAAGTAATCTTGGCCAACTTATTTCCTTTTAAAGCTTTTACACCACATTTGGCTTAAAGCTCAATGTATAGTATTTTAAAGAAGTAGCTAAAAACTAACAACTGGAAATCACTTTTACTTTAAGAAGCTTTTAAAGCTCATGAAAGCACTGCCCACAATATATGTACCTTCCCGAAGTTCGATTTTTCCCTACCAAAAAGAATTTTAATTATGCAAATTGTCTAATTTATGTATACATATTAATTTAAGTATTTAAAAGGTCTATTTTTTGTATATATTAATTTAAGTATTATTTTCATGCATAAATTTGACTAACATTAATTATGATAATTAATATAATACTCGCGTGCATTATAAATACGTGATTCATGCGTGATTCATAAAAAATTATCTGACTGTATCGACGGTAAATCTGCTGTAAATTTGCCTTAAATAAATGTATTGATTCATAAATAATATCAAAAATAAAATGCAAAAATTATCATTCTGATAAATCAGACAATAAATAAGCGAAATTAAACAGTGCGACAAATTGCTCCAAAAAGTATGCAACAAAATAATTACAAATGCACAATGCTATTGCCAGAGGCAAAAATAATTGTGTGTTAAATAAAAACATTTTATCTCTATTTTAAATTTTTTTGTATTAAAATTTAAAGGCTTAGAGCATAAAGCATGCCATTATAAATATTTATGTAGCTTTAAATGCAACTTTAACTTATAAAATATGCGAATTGTTTTCATGAAATGAAAAATGATTTCATTTATTAATATTAAAGTGCAGCAGAAATTCAACAGCTTGAACATTTCCTTAAACTACAATAAACATTTCCTGACAGTAGCGCATAAAATGCTCTCAATTATTCATTAATTTATATCATACGCTCTGCTGGCATTCTCACATCCTGTGCGTTGCGCAACAGAAAATGCCACTTAAATGCACAACAACAGCAACAACAGCAACAACAGCAACTCCGCTGAAAGGGGTTGAAATTCATTTAAAAAGAGGGAGAAGAAAATAATAAAAACGTTAAATAAATTGCGGGTCACTTTCGCTGGCCGCCAGACAAGCGAATGGAAAAAGAGCCAAGCGCCGAAATAATAAGATTCAAATGACGGCAATAAAGGAGATGTTAAAAATAGTATATATATCATATATATATATATATACATACATTCCACAAGGCTCGCACTTTGTGTTCGTGCAACGTTGCGTATGCGCAATGTCTGACCAAAAAAAAAGTCGAATGAAATTAATTATGAACGCGTTTACGCTTAACATTGAAGCTGTGCGCTCGAGTGCTCTTCAAAAATCCAATAAATCATTCCGGCCACGCCTACAGCGCCCCCACCCCCCCCCCCCCCCCTTGACTCGTACATTTCAAATTAATAAAGTTTCAGTTGGATGCCAAACAAAAGTAAAGCTATGGGCTAACGGCACAATGTCAAGTGCAAATCGGGCAGAAAGTTAAAGCTGATAGCAACAGCTAACGGTTAAGTGTTTGCCCTCTGTGATTACACTCCCCCCCCTTTCTTAATGCCTCCCTTTCAATTCCCTTCTTGAGGGGGGGGGGGGGGGGGAACGGTCTTCGCATCCTGAAGCAAAAGCAACGTTGAAGCGTTTTCCAAGTCAATTTCCGTCGCTGGCGGCAACCAAAGCAGCAGCCGAAAGCAATGTAATTAACGTATTCGACGCTTTAATACCCTGTTAAATATAAGCAAAAAGTGAGAATATTATGAAAGATGAAAACTAGGTAATGGTGTTGGGAAATTTGGACCTATGTCTATATAGGATATTTAAGGGTACCATTTTCACATGAATTTCAACCAAGAAATGTGTTGCCAGATTTAGATGCCAAATTGATTATGAGGCCAAACCATGAACAAAGAGCCAACGTTCGTGACAATCAGATCAGATTTGACCGAGTTGTGGGGTTAGGAAATTTTGACCTATGTGTATATAATAGTGGATATATCTCTGCCTTGCCCGTGTTACGTTTAAAGATCTCTGAAAATTAGTTGCAGACAGAACGGACGGTAAGCCAATTACCGAAATCGCTGAAACTCGTATTCATTAAGTTCTTATGTAGAGCTTTGAAATAAGCTTGAAGCTCTATATGTACATGTGAAAGCTTATTATTATAATATTTTATAATAATTTTATGAAGATATTTTTAAAGGGAAGCCCCTGTATATAAGCCTATGTACAGTGAAAGCATCCATACACGTCGCATTGTTTTTGTGCGCTTACGAGAATGTATTTGGTATGAAAAAGTAAAGAAGGCCTACCCGGCTACTGCATACCCTGTTGCTTGTTGGCAAATCTACCGCCAGCACAGTTCTCTCCTCAATTAAGCTACCCTCCGCACAAATTAGAGAAAAAAAACCAAGAGCTCTGAGCAAAGTACTCGACCATAAAAATCGTTGTCAGCTGCAACTGTGAGGTAAATAAAAATCAAATTTAAAATAAGAAGAGAAAAGAAAAAATTAATAATAATAATAATAATAGCGCTAAGAAAGTCGTCGCGGCGCCGAAAAGCAGGCAACACAAAAGACAAACGACCGGAAGTGAGGGTGGTTGGTTGGCCAGCGGGGGAGGTGGAGGGTTTGTGGGAGGGGGGGGGGGGTTGGCTCTAAATGTCGCAATTTTACGAGTCAATATAAAGGTGCCTGGGGAGTCATTTACAGGCGCACAGCGGTTGGCTTTTCGTGCTCGGGCAATAAAAGCGAAGAACGTGAATGTCGAAGCCGGAAACACACACGAAAACAAAAAAAAGTGAAGCAAAATAATAAATAAATAAACAGGCTGCTCAAGGAAATGGCGGGTTTTATGGCCGAGGACAGCGACAAAAGGCGGCATAAAAATTTGTAGACAAGAAACACGTGTAATGGCCGGCAGCAAAGGGTTGCGCCACACGAAAAACAAGCCGCAGCCGCAGCAAAGCAAGTCAAAGGCAATTTCTTATGCCACCCGCAAATACTTAAAGCCAAGCAGCTCACAGAGCTGCCCCATCGTGTGGCAAGCAGCTGGAACTGATTTACGACTAGCTTCAAATAAGTTTTAAATATATGTATATGTGTGCATATTTTTAATACCCTTGTAGAGGGTATGCTGGTCTTGTCATGACGAAGGTGACATCTGCTACCCTATAAAGTATATATATTCTCGATCAGCAGCAATAGCCTATTTCATATAGGCATGTCCGTCTGTTCGTCTATATGTCCATCCGTCTATCCGTCTATCTGTCCCTCCCTCCGTCCGTCCGTCGGTCCGTCTGTCTGTTTCTATGCGAACTAGTCTCTCAGCTCTAAAGCTTTTCCCTTGAAATTTGGCATAGTTCCGTCTTTCTGTTGCAGGCAGTACATAAGTTGGAACCGGCCGGATCGGACGACTATATCATATAGTTTTCATAGGAACGATCGGTCGAAAAGATGGTTCTTGTATGGAAAACTTGCTTGTTTATCAACAAATCTTACCTTATGTTAGTCTTACTATGCCTGCTCCATGTATGCAAAATGTTATCAAGATCGGACAACTATATCATATAGCTGCCATAGGAAAGATCGGTCGAAAAGTAGTAGTAAAAGTAGTAGATATTTTCATCAAACTCAACATTTACGAGCTTCACTTGTCTCACATATGTGCAAAAGGGAGGGTATCGAATCTTCGGCTTGCGTCAGGTATTCTAACCTCCCCGTCTTAAACTGATTTTAATATAATTTAAATGACAAGCTTTTCAAAATAAACAAATTTGTTTTTTAGTTTACTTGTTAATATAAATATTAAAACTATTCACAACTATCTATAACAACTATCTATAAATTAAACATTTGGCTTTTCTTTTAGAATTTCTTAGTCCATTGTCGATTTCTGGTGCTGGTCACCTGAGCCGTGTCTTTGGTGGTGCGTATATCGCAATTGTGGCAATCGCCGTTCCACTTGATGTTGCCGTTGCGCACGCGCACCTGTCTAGTCGAAGACGTTCGTACGCGTATCTGACCTGCATATAAAAATGTACATATATAAAATATATGGTTAAAGAGGGGTCTCTATTAAGTGGTCTTACCGGCAGGCGCCGCTGCAATCAGAGCCAGAAATGCCAGCAGCAAAATGCACAACGAGAACCACTTCATGCTGAATACTTGAATACTTGAAGACTGCGCAAGTTGGCAAAGATCTCAGCCGCTTTTATAGCTAGTAGCTAGTAAGAATTAAACCCCCAAGAATATGTTTAAAAATAATTCTCGTATCGCAAACAATGCCAAAGGGCAGCTGGAAATGACGCTGGGAAATGCGATTGAAACTGGATCTGGGGCTTGCCCACGACTCAACAGTAAAGCCCCCCATTTAAAGTCAACTAAGGTTTTGTGTTACATATTGAGTTACATCAATTATGGGTAAAAGTCGTATTATTTGCTTTGCATTGCATTTTTGTAATTAATTATGAAATATATATGTAAAATGTGGGACTGGGAGCTACCCTCTAAACAGTTCTTAGTTAATCGAATGTAAGATGTATTCTATTATGATCACTGAAAAGTTATTTATTATTATTTAGTCTAAATAAGACTAGACTTCAATTGACTAAACTTTAGTTATCCAAGATATACTATTCTAATACGCTTTATACTTGTGTTTGCTTTACAACCAATCTAACCTGACTAGGTGGATACCCTGTAAATGCGCAAGCCCATAGAATCTACGCGGGTAAAAAATTATATATATATTATTCAACTTCTATAGCTACCCAAATGGGCGTGGCTGACTATATAAAATATATATATATATGTGTATTAAATATATACTCCATTATGCCCCATAAGAAGTTACTTTTCGACCGATCTTTCTAAATGGAAGCTATTTCATATAGTAGTCCAATCTTGCTAGGATCTTGCTTACATTTAGAGGATATAGTAAAACCTTTAAACGCCGTTTGGGTAAGATATGTTGATAAGCCAAAAAGTATTCCATACAAGCACCTTTTTTTTTTGGACCGATCGTTCCTATGGCAGTTGTATGATATAGTGGTTCGATCCGGCCGGATCCAAAATATGAGCGGACAGACAGACCTCTTTCAAGACGATATATATACATAAGTATACATAAGTTACCTATACTCCTCTAAAAACCACTTTTACAGGGTATAAGACAGCCCAAGCTGTTCTCAGTGCCATCTACTACAGCCTCTTAACTACTTTAGCTGTAACTGTAGCTATTTATATTAGACCTGTTCATGTCGGCTGCTACATAGAAGCAGCTCATTCGAGTAGTTGTTTTTAAGCCCCCTCCCCCTGGCGCCCCCTTCACAAAATGCACAACACTTGGTACTTGACTTTACACTTGACCCTGCACACACATTTATTTCAGTCCTTTCGAATAAACAGATTTGGGAGCAACTAGCTCAGCCGGTAATGTCGCAGCCAGCGCAATCGGCATTGTGCACAAAGGAGCCGCCGGGCACACGGCCGCTGTAGCCCTCGGGCACCACAAAGGGTGCGCCACCGCCTCCCGTCTGGGGGCGCACAGCATTCGAATCGCTGTCCTGTCCATTGATATAGACGGTGCCTTGTCCCGGTCGACCCTTGTACACCTTGTCGCCTACGACCAGCGTTTCAGCATCTGGCGGCGAGCAGTCCCGGCAGGCGCCATTGATGACCACATTGCCGGCTGGCCAGGCGGAGAGAGAGGGAGAGGGGGAGAGGGGGAGCGTGTTAAGGAACTAAGGAGGCACATGGATGCTGGAATGCTTACCCGCCAATGCCAAGAGTGCGGCAAACAGAGCACAGACCAAAAATAACCTCATTGCAAATGTGAATTCAATTGGCATCTGTTGTTGCCGCTTGGCACGAGCCGAGCTTTATATACGCTGCTCGGCTTTTGATAACAATGGGAATTCAGCGGAAAGTGGAAATTCCATGAGCTGTGCCTCTAACCGGTTTACAAAGCAAGGTCAACAACAACAACTACAACTACAACAAAGACAATGACTATATTGTAATACGGGGAACAGGGAACACTTTGGTTCGTTTATTAGCACACGTTAAATCTGTTTGCTTCCGCCCGTTCCCGCAGGGGAAGCACCCCTTAGCCGTTTATGTTGCAGCCGACGCAGTCATCGTTGCGCACCACAGTGCCGGGACGTCCACGTGAATCGAGTGTGGTCACACGACCACCTGACCAGCCGCCGCCACCGAAGCCCGAATCCGTTATTATCACCTGACGCTGCCGCTTGTGGCGCGATCCGCTCGAGATGTGCTGTGCCCCATGCGCGCCCTGGCTCAGATTCCAGTCGCCCATGCTCAAATCTTCGTCACTATCGTCCGATGCCTTGTGGCTCTTCGGCTTGGGCTTCGGTGTAGTCGCGCGTCCATGTCCGCCATGTGCGGTGCTCGGTCGACGTGTTGTTGTCGTCGCCGCATCGGGTCTATTGCAATCCACGCATTCGCCCTTGATGGTCACCTTGCCAGCTGAAAGAGTTTGATTCCTGGTCAGTCGTGGATCAGGGCAGAGAGATCGGACTTACCTCTGGCGCTGACGGCCAGCATGGCCAAGATCAAAAACGTTAGCAGCATTAAACACCTCATTTCGTTAGCTTCAACCTGACGCTGTGCACGCTGGAATGAATCTTTTATACTGGCGACGAGAGGCGTCTGCTGAGAATCGTGCGCGATTGAAACTGAGATTGAGGTGGAACAATCGATAGATTGCCCTCAAGCTGCATACACCAATGCTGTGTATATTATATATTTAGTGCATATGGTGTATATAGTATATAGAATTATTGTATGGAATTGCCCAGATTATCAATACCTTGACGGCGTATAAGCTAAGCTCAACTCATAACACGTTTCAACTTTGTACGGAAGATTGCACTGCGAATGCGTAGTATCCGTTGGCAAATACATACATACTACCTATATGCCAATTAGTATATGCTTCTCTGAAAGCCACTTATACGTTTTCCCACTAAGTTTATTGGGATGCAATGAAAAGTTAATACTTGACTGGAAATTACCCTGTTGGAGACGATTTGCATAAGCACTTATTAAGAAAGTAAGATGAAAGTGGGAAAGAGAGAAGGAAAGAGTAAAGAGGAATAGAGAGTATAGGAAGCGAATGGTGCGAGAGTGGTACTCATAATAAAAAGGAGAGAGAGAGAGAGAGAACGCGAGAACGAGAGTAGAGTGTAAGAGAGATTAGATGGTGAGATAGAGAGTAGAGAGTAAGAGAGAGTTGATTGTGAGAGATAGAGAAAGATAGATAGATATAGAGTAAGAGAGGTGGTTGGAAGGAGAAAGAATAAAAGAGACTAGATAGTAAAAGAGAGTAGATAGTGTGGGTGAGAGAGAGAGCGAGGAAGAGAAGCAGTAAGTCAACGAAATTGAGGAACTGTCTTTGTACGGCCTTTCTATGCGATTTTAATAAACTCAGTTTGGTGAGTTAAAGTGAGAAAGAAAGATGGGTTGTATTGGAGAAGGACAAGGAGAGAAAAGGGAGACAAAGATAAGGGATAAAGGGAGGGTCAGTGTCAAACAGCATAAGAGAAAGGTAGAGAGACAGTTGGAAAAGCATCAATTACATAGGGTATCTATAGACTAAATAAATACTACTCAAAATACATCAACAAATCGCACAGGAGATTGATTCCCAAATTTCAATTAAAAAACCAACTTAATTAATTTTAGATTGTAAGAGAATATAACTTATTTCTGTAAAGACAAATTCACTGTGCTGTTATTTTATTTTTATATTTTATTTGACACATGTCTGTTTCCTAATGGGTATAACCAGAACATAACGCCCAGTCCATGGCGGGGAATTTCCCCTGTGCGGCTTATCAACTGAGACACACACAGAGTGCGTCTAAGTGAATGCATTCGATTCGATGATAATCCAAATTTGCTTGGCGCTGACATTCTGTGAATTTCCCCCGTTGTAGGTAACTTGGAGCTCCATATAAGATGGAGCCTGGACCGACAACAGCATCAGTTCAACTCAATCGTTTGTGGAACAATCAACAAGCAGCAACAATATGAAATTCTTCTCAGTTGTCACCGTTTTCGTGCTCGGCCTCTTGGCTCTGGCCAGTGGTAAGTGTTCGACACCCAAAACCGATTAATATCAATACATTTATTAACCCTAAATCTCTCTCTCTTGCTCTCTCTCTCTTGCTCTTCCTCTCTGCTTAGCTGTTCCGCTGTCGCCCGATCCTGGCAATGTGGTCATCAACGGCGACTGCAAATACTGCAATGTCCACGGCGGCAAATAGACGAACCGAACGAATCGCGTTCAGATTCCTAGCCTTACCTCAAACCGTTGGCACCATATTTATGTACACACTGCGTTTCAAATCAAACTTAGCATTTAAATAACAATTAAATAAAAAACTTACATAAAACCAAATTAAAAAAAAAATAGTTAATTATATTTACTGTCTAGGAAATTTAAGTTTCAGATCTCTCAGCTTGGATGAAGGGCTGTCAATATGTAAATATTGAAATTAAGTATTATAAACAGCTCTTGACTCTTTGACCCTGAGCTGATTTGCAAAAAAAAACTTGAACTATTGACCCCTCTATATGCATGGAATGTAATCAAAGTGTAATAAAGGAAAAAAAATATATATAAAAATATGTTTTGCACATGTTGAATAAATAGATCGCATTAAAATCGCAACAAATAAGACGGCATGAGGCGTTAGTGCTCGGATAGAGAATACCCTGTTTTTATGTTTCAAGTATATTATGTTAATATTATGGAGAGAGAATACCCTGTCTTTATATTTCTAGTATTTTATGAAAATATGATGGAAGTATATAGTGTTTAGCTAGAGAATACCCTGTTTTTATATTTACAATATAGTAAGCAATTATGAATGAAATATGTAGTGTTCAGCTGGAGAATACCCTGTCTTAACATTTCAAGTATATATATATATAATATTAGAAATACTTGATAGTTTATATATTGTAATAATAAAGCGAAATGTGCAAGATATGCCTTGCAACCGCTTACTATACCCTGTAGTCAAGGGTAAAGGGTATCACTCAGTTGTGCCAATGTGTAAAACAGCAAACGGAAGGTTGCGCCGGCCTTATGATGTGTATAAACAATGCTATCAGCATTATTGGCCATCTGTGTGTCATCTATGAGACTATAGAAATTACAATTAGCTTGTTTTCTACATACTTATATTCACATATATCATTTCCATATATGCAGTACAATACTAAGTATTTAAAATATTAAGTATACGTAATTGGAAGCCACGCAAACGAAGCCTGATTAGTATAAAACTATCATACTATTACAATAATTGTTTAATTTATATGCAGCTTAAGTACGTCATATCTTTAACTTAAACTGGCTTTTATTTATTGTTTATCAGTAATAATTAATATTTATAGAACTGCATTTGCTTTGCATAGTTCTTGGGAATTATGTTTGCTTCAACTGGTTCGGAATTCCAAGTTACGTGCGTAATTCTTTCATCAAATGCAGCGTGAAGTCAACAACAATAACAACAATAACAACAACAACAACAACAACATTAAAACACGTTTTAACGATTAGTCGGAAATGTATTTGGAATTAAGTTAATTAACATATAGCACAGGGGGGCGCCAGGCTTCAGACGTCGCAATTGAAATGGGAATTCGATCGTAAATGCAAACAAATATGACAAATAAAACAAGTTAGAATAGGGTAAAAACGGTTGATAGACGGTGAGATACCCTGTGTTTTTTTTGTGTGTCAAAATTCTTTTATTTACAGCTAATCTTCTGTTACTCTTAGCAACTTTTATCAGCGTGAGTTTTGGTTAATGATAGCTTAATGTAAATGTTTACATTGTGTGTGGTTAGAGATACCCTGTAGAAGAGCATATGCGGAAATGCAGAAATATATATATAGAATAATTATTTTATTGGCTAAAAAGTTTGAACAACTTAGTTTAATATTTCTCCAGGAGAACGTAGAGCTAGCCAATAAAATAAATAAAAAATGGAAAGGTCGCCAAAATCAGCACTAAGTATATAGAATATATATATATATAAGTATATACTGGAAATATATGTTATATAGATCAATACTGTAGGTTATACTGTTAATCTTACTTACTTAACTTCTCTGTCCATGCTGTTCAGGTATATATACACACACTATAGGTACGAGTATGCCCTTTATTCTAACACGCCTTTGGCAACTTTTATGATACCACTATTAAACCTAGTTTATAGATACTGCCCTCTCTCTCTCTCGCAGCTTGTAGCTCTCTGTAGTACATATTCCATATAATAATAATAAAAATCAAACTAGATTCGCATTGCCGCAACGCAATTGGGAAATTTTTCAATCTTGACTTGACGCTCGCCTCTGGCATCGGGCAATTCCATTTCCAAGTTCGTATGATAACGGGCAGGCACATTTAGCTCCGAGTCTGGCTGCAGTTTAGCTATAAAAGCATAGCTGGCCAAGTTGTAAGGCATCAGTCTTCTTGCGTCTTCCAAGCAATCAAACAAAACAAAACAAAACAACAACCAATCAACATGAAATTCCTGTCGCTCGCTTTTCTGCTCGGTCTCCTGGCGCTGGCTAGTGGTAAGTCTGGGCTTGTCTTCAGCACCAACTGACAGCGAACTAACTTGATTCTTCTACACATTTAGCTAACCCACTGAGTCCTGGCAATGTCATCATCAATGGCGACTGCAAAGTGTGCAATGTGCGCTCCTAGAACATTGACCCAATCCCCGGAGCAGCCACAGCCGCAAAATGCAATAGCCAAATAATCTAGCGTAAAATGTTTTCCATGTAATATGCATTTAATATAAGTACAACAAAAAACAAAAAATATCACACTAAATCGCCACAAAATGCTTAATAAATTCTTATAGCTAAATGAAAAACTTTTCTTTTTTATTTTTATTCTCGAGCAATAAATGTTGCCCGATGTCTGCTTAAGATTATCACATAAAAACTATATAAACAATATATAAAAGCTATATAAAAGCTTTATAAAAACTATAGAAAATGTATATAAAATCTACATAAATACTAAATGCATACTATATATGTATATACTATATAAAAACTATATACAAATTATATAAAACTATATACAAACTATTTAAACACTATTTAGGAAACTATATACCAACTATTTAAAAACTATATAAAAAAAAGCTTTTAAGGCTTTGAATTTTTTTTAGAAATTTTCAAAAATATACCCTCTTTTTCAGCAATCTCAGATTGTTTTTATATACTTTCGATAATCTATAAAATTTCGTTCGGTTCTTATACTAGAAACTAGAATATGCACATTCAACAAAGTTATACTCTATATTAATTAAAAACATTTTTTTGAAGTTCGTTTTGTTTTCTTTAAATAAATTCTGTAACATATTTGTTTTATATATATGTAAATATATATATTTATCACATTTATTTGTTTTATTATATGTATATATATATATATTTTTATTATTTTTTTTTGGATAGAAAGACATATAATATTATTTTTATTTTTACATACTAAGTAGTATTTAGATATATATTTTAAATTAATTGTCCGACTACATTAATATATTTTTATTATATTTTAATAATTTAAAACTATTTTTCGAGTACATAAATATGTTAATTATATTTTATATTATAGTTATACATATAATACATATTTAATACATAAATAAATGTATATATTTTTTATAATATTTTAAAATATAGTTAATGTATTAATATTATTTATATTTGATATTATTAACTATTATTATTATTATTTTAATTATAATACATAATTTTATTATTTAATTAACTTATATTATTTCAAATATATTTTCTATATATGTATAAAAATAATGTAACAAATCTTTAAAAATTTAATTTTTTTTTAAATTGAAATTACTTTATATTAACCATTTTATATTATTTTCTTTAGAAATAGCATGAGAGCTATATCTGACGTCGCTTTTGTTTACTGAACTGATGAGCAGAGATTAGATTCAATAAGCTGGGAAATTCCGAAACATTTGAGTCTCTCAACGATGCGATTGTTGCGCTCAATCTGAATCGGAAACCTGTTCTATATAAAAGTGCATGCCATTGACGTCTGGTATTCAGATTGTTTGGATCAGTGTGCTGTGAATATGAAATCGATTGCATTGCAGCTGCTGCTGTTGGGCTGCCTTCTGGCTGTGGTTTGCGGTAATTGAATAGATCTCTGGAAATGTGAGACAATTGCTCTAATATGTATTCCTCTGACAGCCACACCGGGCAAAGTCGTTATCAATGGCAAGTGCATAGACTGCAATCGGCCGGAAGATGACGATTCGGTGATCATTCCAGGAGACAGAAAAGTCGCGGGTGCAGCTACTCAGGTCTTGGCCTCGGGTGCCATGGGCTTTGGACTATTGTATTATCTCATAAGTGCTTTTCTGCAGAAATATAATTTATAATTAAATAAAGTCACTTTGAGTGAAAATATTCGAATTGCAATTCTTTTATTCCAATTTTAACCAAATAATTAGACATGATATATATATTGTGCATTCATTTGTTTAATTTTATTAGTTAATTATAATTTTTAGGTGCTTTTAGCCGCCGTGTACGTTGCACTTCTTGCAATCCCCATTGATGACCACATCCGGGTGCAGCGGGTTGGCTGTACATGGAATGCATAATTGGTTAGACTGGCAGCTTGTAGGTAAACACAGCTCGTCCTACTTACCGCTGGCTAGAGCCAATAAGGCTAAGGCGAAAACTACAGATAGCCACTTCATGATGTTATTCAGTTCGAACTGATTGTAAGCCACGTTCTGCACTGCGCTTTTATAGTCTGCCCAATGGCAAATATCTCACAGCAGCCGCTCTCTACAAACTCGGAACATTTGATTCAACTTGATCTGAGAGAGGCATACGAGAGGTTGTAACTAGCATAAACAAATGACTAGTGTGATTAATATATATTGTTAAATTCCAAAGCTGATAGCATATATTAAAAAATATAAAATATTAAACAATATGTGTACACAAAGTCGGAGTTTGGGTCTTCTGATAAATAGAAAAAGTTGGGAGACGAAAACTCCGACTTGAAAAAGTTGGAAGACAAAAACTCCGACTTTTTTCGAAACTTAACAAATGCTTCTTTTTTAAGGTTTTAGCTTTATTTGGAAAAACTTAATTTGATTAATGTTTTTCCTGTCATAGGTAACAAAGTTGGGTTTGTTTGGTAATATATACATATCTATGCCCTATAAGCATACGTTAACTCTCTCTCTTTTTCACTCTCTCCATCTCTCCCTCTCTCACTCTCTCTCTCTCTGTCTCTCTTACACTGTTTCCCACTTGGAATTACCTACTTAGGCTCTTTTAATTCTTACAATATACACTTTCTTTAGAAATGACGTAGTTTTAAATGTTTTCTAAAATATGTTAAATACTCTGTACTCATTGAAAAGGGGTATACTGTGTAAGTTAATAAGTATGGTATAGGCAAAAGAAGGCTCTTCTAGAAAATATATATTTTATTCTTGCCCAAAAGTCGTCTGTCTTTAAACTATTCAAACTCAGAGACCTAAGGAGAATATTGATCCTAGTGAACGCACATGTCTTCGAATAACTCAGCCTGTTTTCCATTTATCGATAAATATCGATTTTCAGATTTGTTTTCTCGCCTACAAGTGGCGTCACAATTTGTTAAGGCAAAGCCTTGGGTTTTGGTATACATCAGCTTTTGGATGCCATATTTAAGTTCCGAAAGTTTCATAAAGAGCGGACTGAAAGCAACCCAGTTATTAAAGCATACATACCTTATGGTATGATAGTATGAGGCGAGGGGAAAGGCAGGCAAAGCTGTGTGTGTGTGTGTGTGTGCGTGTGTGTGCGTGTGTTTTTGTGAATGTGTGTGCTTAAAGGGAAACTGAAATATTTGTAACGTCAACTGGGTTCAGGGTATCTCCTAATCGAGCAGTCTTACCTGTTTATTGTATTTACACATTAACTAACAGTGCAAACGCTTTAATTGGCTCTCAAAATTAGCATAGGCTTCGCTGTATTGAATACACATTAAACCCAATTTGATGCACTATATCAATGTCGCACGAGTCGCTTATCATTTGGAAATACTCAATTGCTCGGGTTTTTCCAAGCAATCTCTAAAGCGACCTATTATCATCTATAATATACGCTTCCAGGAATAGCCCACTTGTCAAATGAGCTATATAAACAGAAGATTTCGCTAAATTGGTTTCAGTTCCATTTAAGAGGTTGCGAAGAATAGAAAATGAGGTGTCTGTCAATTGCATTCCTGCTGGGCCTCCTGGCCTTGGCCAGTGGTAAGTTAAAGTTTTCCCCGTTCCCTTGTGCGCTCTACTATAGAATATTTCCCCCAAAACAGCTTCCCCCTTGGTGCCCGGAGATGTGATCATCAACGGACACTGTGTGAACTGCAATGTTCACGGAGGTTGAGATCTGTCTGAAACTAAACTAAACTAAGATTTAAACCTCGCCACAAACAACTGAAAGTTATGTTAATGCCTAAGTAATTTGCAAAAATATATTTATAAACACATCTATTTCTTTTTTATTTAAATAAAAACATGTATTAAACAAGAGCTGGTTATTTATTTTTTTAAGTTTTCTTAACAATCTATTAATCGCCGCGTACGTTGCATACTTTGCAGTCCCCATTGATGATCACATGGCCCGGCTGCAGCGGATTGGCTGCAAATGGATTTGATGTTTGAATTAATTAATTAATGGATGCTTTTAGGTAGAAGTCCCTGTCTAGTACTGACCGCTTGCCAGCGCGAGCAGAGCCATGACGAAAGCCAGCGAAAACCACTTCATAATTGCAATAAGCTCCAAATGCGACTCGCCCGTTGAAACTGATCGTGAGCGAAGGTCTACAAGCCGCTTTTATAGACTAATCAACTGATATAACCGTCTAGTATTGTCTGTAATAATATTGTTATTATATTTTTTTATTGATAAACATGGTTGGCAAATGCGCACTTGCTAAGTCCATGCAAAACGAGACTTACAGCTGGCCTAAGGCTTTGTTCTACTTTGAGCTAATCTGTTAACAAATTGCCTTGATCGTTGCTTTCGACATAACATATGTCTCTATATATAAAGAAAATTATATTTCCTGCAAATAAAAAGCACACTTTACGGCTATACTACTAGTTTTCCCATGTGCTTGAGGCGTTAATACTTACTAGTTAAGTATTCATTTGTTTTGTTCGCATAATAAATATCTTACATAGTTAAAAACTATAGGCATAAAATTCAGATTAAATTTGTCTAAGATACCAACATCAGGTGGGATTTGAACCAGCAACCTTCTTACTTATTATTATATGCTCATATTAACAATTCTCTAAAATATGTTCCACTTATATTCTATTCTATTCATATTATTAAAGCTCAACTGATTGATTGGTGAGGGTATAAACGACTTCGGCAATTATTTTGTTGCAAATTCCATTCATAATGCGCTGAACTCACTTGATCCCGTGCACAGATAGCTATAGGCATCGTCTAGCTGAGTGGGGCAATGTCCGTAATCTCAGTTAGTTGAACTGAATGCATCTGACAGATACACAAGCCTATATATGCACAAGTCAATAAGCAAACGTTAGTCAAATGCAAATGCAGCGTAAATTCAAATGAAATTTAAATGTTTTTATTAAATAAATACATTGTAGATATAACTAAGCTAAGCTAACTGGATTGGAGGCTAGGAACTGTTCTGCAAAGGTCTTTACTTCATTTTTCTGTGCTTTAAAGAAAAGGGTTTACATCGTCTGTGATCTTTGAAATCTATGTAAATAGAGTATAAACTGTCCAAACTATTCTAACTCCTAACTCTTATAATGTAGACACCCCTCTTGAGAGGCCATGCCCATTCCTCTCTCCATTAGGCGGAAAAACCTCTTGAACGGGCGAAATATACACAACGATCGCTGTCCGCGCACGCTAGTTCTCACTGTAACTCTGTTTTTTTCTATGAAGGGAACCAGGTATGTTTTTTAAATGTTTCAATAAGCCAATGTCAGTCTGTGTACCAAATTTGGTGTCTCTAGGTCCCATAGTTCTCGAGATGCATAAGTTTGATAAAAGAGGAATATATTTACATTATAAATGCACAGTATTTTCCTTTTATAGGCTATTATAAGGATATTTGTTACAAGAGCAGCGCAGAAAAGTATTAAAGCACACAATTTTAAAGTTGGAAAAGCTTAGCAAGGCGAACATCCATCCGAGTCGAGTTGGGCGTTGTGTATCTGTATCTATGAAAGGTAAATGAACGTGTTTGTGGTTGAATTCATTTTCGTCGGGTAAAAGTTGCGTACATGCTCGGTCTGCGTGTGTGTGTGAGTGTGTGCGTGTGTGTGTGTGCGCGTTTGTGTGTGTGTGTGCGAGTGCGTATCTATGTGTGTGCCTGCTGTTGGTTGGCAATTAAGCCAATGAAGCATTAAAAACACCAGCCAAGGGCGTAAGCCATGCAAAGTGAACTGGCATCTGGACTGGGAATAGGAATCAGTTGGGGTTGGGGTTGGGTTGGGGTTGGGGATTAGGGTTTGAGCGCTGGCTGTTGCTGTCGTGGCTTACAGCTACCCCGCCGCCCCACTCACGGCTTGGCTTTGGGTGGATTAGCGTGGATGTTGCTGCTGCTGCTGCTGCTTCTCCTGCTGCTGCTGCTGCTGCTGCCGCCACATTTGTCAACGTAAAAAGCATTACGCTTAAATGAACCCATGCACATGCATAAATACGGCAAAGCCAACTCAGCGCACAGTCGACACGTGTGCGTTAACAATTTAATTACGCCAAATAAACCGCCCCCCACCCCCTCCTCCCCCCCTCGCTCCATCCACCTGACTGACTGCCTGCTTGCGGGCAGATGTTTTTCCCATGTTGCCCAAAAAGTTAATCACCCAATCGACGGCGAGGTCAGCTGTATTAAAGACTTCGGAGCTGGAAAAGCCCATTAGGCAGCACTTGGTTTGAGGGGCGGAGGAGGGGGCGAGGAGTAGTGAAGGGGCTGGGTTGTGGTAAGATTTGTAGCTGAGGAAGCTAGTGCGACGTTTGCTTAAGCTGGTGTGAAAATATGCCAGGACTGTGCACACTAAAAAGTTTCTCTGTGAATGTGTGTGTGTGCGGTTGTGTGGTTGTGTGTGTGTGTGCAAACATGTCAGTGGCAAATGCGGTTACACAAAGAGATACACACACAAGTTCAACTGTGTGCATGATTAAACGAACCTTGAATACTCTTTCTTTAGATATTTGACCAACATTGCATAGATCGTATGGCATATATAGATATATATGTAAGCTAAGTTATCAGCTAAACATAAATAACAAAAGAATAAAAATAAAACATTGCTGTTAAGATAACACGTTTGGAGGGATGTTAGAATGGCTTTCTAGTATTTTCATCAGTTTTTTCTATTTCCCCCATACAAATATATTACTTTACTTTAAGTCTGTTGTCTATTTTAAAGTGTTTGCCGCTTAAACTTAACAGTTGCTTACTAAGTGTGCTCTCTTTAACAGGATAATTGTTCTGTTATTAACTTAAGCTGCTAGACTCGCATTAACATAGAATATTCATTTTGTTATGTGTATGAATATGTAAGGATACTTGATCTTCTGTTATTAACATAATCTGTTAAGCTCGAATTAAAATAGAATATGAATTCTGTTATAATAACTGCAAATCACCAGCAACAACAACTATACAATATTCCTTCTATCCCTCTCTCTCTCTCTCTCTCTCTCTCTCTCCTCCCTCTCTCCCTTCCTATCTTTCCCTCGCTGTTTCTCTCTGTAAAACATAACATCGTCAATACCCCGCTTACTACACATGAATATACTCTTTATGAGCACAACTCTGCCTACACATAATATTTTTATGTATTTATGTATGTATGTATATTTCTGTACATATGTGCATATTTATATATATATATATTTTATGTGCGCAGCAGTGTGGTTTGAGTAGGACAAAGACAGTCAAGCGTTTCTTGGCAGCTGGGGCACTATTAGTTTATTATTACGACCAACGTTTTATTGTCAACCTGTGGAGTGTGTATGTGTGTGTGTGTATGTGTGTCTGTGTGTGGGGGTGAATGTGCACATGATTTGTGTATAGTTGAGAGTGGGCAACTAGGGGCGTGTCCATGAACATGTGTGCATTTTGCTTAGGCGCCTGTGCATAGCCATATTTGAAATATTCTGTTGATTTGCCACGCCTTGTTGTTGTTCTTGTTGTAAATTGAGTTGTTGTTGTTGTTGTCTGTGTGTTCCCTTTTTTGCGGTTAGTTTTATAGCTTCTGCCATATGTGTGTGTGAGAGAGTTTTGTGTGCTGGCATTTCATAAAATTTATGTGATTTTTTGCCAAAGGGAAGCGGAAATTTTTTGTTGCATCTTTTAGGCGCAACACAGTAAATATCCACACACACACGCGGCGTATGCGTGTTGTCTAAGCGAATGTGTGTGTAAAATCCAAAAACGAGAAAACATAAAATATTTAAACAGTCAGCAGCTAAATAAAAACATTATAAAACACAAACACGGCTGCTGCTGGAATTTAAATGCCTTTGCGCCTGACTTCAGCCTTAGCCCCGGGGACAAATCTATTAAGGGCAGGCGGTCGATCGCCGGGATAAGGTGGCTGGGCGTGGGATTTGTGTGACTGTGCAAAGTAATTACGCAAAAGGATTTGCTCAAAAAACACTTGAGGGCTGCCACTTGTGAGCTAGCTACAGCTACAAGCCAGGCAGGCAGCCGGACAAATGCCAAAATGGCTGAAGAAAATTGGCGAAAAGTCGTGAAAAGTTTCCATTGAATAAGTTTATATAAAAGATGTAAATTTTTGATGCACAAATAAATTTTTGCAAAAAGCAGCAAAAGCAATTCGCAAACAGAGCAGTCAACACTTTCCGCCCCTCACCCCTCCTCCTCCCACCTCCCACACACAAACACAACCCGCAACCCACCCTTGAAGCCAACAAATAGCACCACGTGAGCAAAATTGCTAATCAACTGGGCAAAGCGTTCCGGGCAGATGTAAAAGCCTCTACAGGACCCTCATCCTGCTTTAAGTGCCTGCCACGCAGTTCTAGCTCTCTCTGTGTGTGTGTGTGTGTGTGTGTGTGTGTGAGGGGGAGTGTTGCGGCGGCGGGTGGGGGGTTTGCTCATCATTTGCCATGTTGTATGTCAGACAGCGAAGGCTTTAATGTATTTAAGCTGGGCACAAAAACATTATTGTCAGCCGGGAATTGTGCGAGTTGCCACTTGGATTGGCAAGCGGGGGCGGGGGCGTGGGCGGGGCAGGCGTTGGTAATAGGGGCGTGTAGGTGTGACAGCGGCAAAGTGACACGAGCCAGAGACGGAGAGGCCAGAGTGCGTCGCTAGCAAGGCGACAGCAACTAATGAGAGCCGGATACATATATATATATGACCGAGAGTGTGTGTGGGTGTGCGAATGTGTGTGTTTGTGTGTGTGTGTGTGTGTGTGTATATACCTACTACAAGCTGAACCGCAAAACCCAAGCCGTAACCCACTAAAATCCATTTCAGCCCAACCGCCGCCCGCCTTGGCCTGTCTGCCGCTTCGAGTTTGGGGATTTGCGTTTTGGTGGTTTGGCTGGCATTAGCCACAGATATATATATGTATATATATGGAAGCCAATGGAGCAGCTGGGACAAGTAAAGCCTTGACGTCTTAATCACACATTCTAATTGAAATGCTGTTAATCGGTCATGTTGCCGAGCAGCGCCTGTGAAAAGAATTTTGCGGCTGAGTGAAAAGTTTTCGTGAGTTAATTGAATTTCGAGACTTACAGCTTGTCAAAACTTTTGGACGAGCATCCTTTTTGCTGTAATCCTTCACGTCTGTCACTAGCTGGCATATTTTTTATAGATGAGATACTCCAACAAGTATAAGAACAAATTAGGTATAAGTAAAATAATAATTAAATAATTATTACAAATACCCTCTATCTTGGGTAAATAAGAGGAGGTTAGAAATGGTATGTATTTAAAACTGTTTGTCCTGACTGACTGATTGAGTGACTGATGAGAGATTGATTAAATGACAAACTAATTGACTGAGTGATTGACGGTCAGACTGAGTGAGTGATAACTGATTGGCTGGCTGACTTACTGACTGATAAACTAATTATCTAATAGACTGAACGACTGATTGACTAATTGATTAACTAATGACTCAGTGGCTGAATAGCTGATGGACAAAGTGATTGACGAGATGACTGATTAACTAATAAACTGACTAATAACTGATTGACCGATAGCTGCTTGATTGCCTAACTGACTGATTGGCAAAGTAAGTGACTGTTGTCTGATTGACTGAATGATGACTGATAACTGACTGATTAAGTAACTAACTAACTTCTGATTGACTTATTTACTAGTGGACTGATTGTTGACTGCCTGATTGACCAATGACTGACTGACCAACTGATTGACTGAATTACTGATATATTGTCTAAGAGACCGACTGGTTGGCTGATTGACAAAATGATTGACTAGCTCATTAATAGACTAACCAACGGCTTGATGGAGTGCCTAAGTAACTTACTGACTGACTATATGATAGACTTAGTGATGACTGATTGACTGATAACTGACTGGTTGACTGACTGACTGATTGACTAAGGAACTAAGTGACTTATTGAGTGAATGACTGACTGACTGACTAAATGACTTACTGACTAGCTTCGAACTAATAAGGTGTTCGCGAATAGTTTTCATTAGTTAAAAAATGCACATAAAATAAAAAAATGCTGAGCATCTGATAGTCGGATATCATCAAAGTGAAATTCTCCCACCTTATCGCTTTTTTGTTTGTGAATTAGTTTCATGCTTTGTCTTAGCTTTTGTATGCCTGCTGTCCGGCGCTATCAGCTCATCCAGCTCCAGCTTCGTTTTCTGCGTCAGTCTTCAAACCCAACTCAAAGCAAACAAACGCACACATGTTGCCCCACGGTTGGGTATTTCTGGGAGCGCTGCTCTGTCTGTGCCGCTGTCCTGTCAGCCTGGCAGATGTGGCCAAGCTCGTTTGCTACTACGATGCGTCGAGTTTTGTTCGCGAGGGTGAGCTAAAACTACGTCTAATCTTTGTGTGTCAGTCGGCGGGGTCAGCGTAGGGTTATCTCCTGGCATATGCATATACGTTGACTTGTATTCTGGCTTTTGTTTCTGTTTCTGTTTTTGTTTTCGTGCTGGAGCAGGCCCCGCCCAACTTTCGCTGAACGAACTGGAGACTGCCTTAAACTTCTGCAATTACCTGATTTATGGCTATGCGGGCATCGATCCAGAGAGCTTTAAGATCAAGAGCTTGAATCCGGAGCTCAGCTATAATCGCCAGCACTATGCCCACATTACGGCGCTCCGGCAAAAGCATCCGCATTTGCGCATTCTGCTCTCCGTGGGCGGGGAGCGGGATCTCAATGCCGAGGGCCAGCCGGACAGCAGCAAATATCTGAGTCTGCTGGAGCTGCCGGAGAGCAGGAACAGCTTTAAGGCCAGTGCCAGCGCCGAGCTGGTCAAATATGGCTTCGATGGCCTGGATCTGGCCTGGCAGTTTCCCCAGATCAAGCCCAAGCAGCAGCAGGGCGCACTGAAGCGCGCGTGGAGCTCGTTCAAGGGCTGGTTCAGCAGCTCCTCCATCGATCCCAAGGCCGAGGAGCACAAGGAACAGTTCGCCACATTCGTGCGGGAGCTGCGCGTCGAGCTGCAACGCAATGGCAAACAGCTGACCCTCAGCATGCTGCCACATGTCGATCCGGAACGTGAGTATCGATTGCCCCACTCCCAATCTCAATCTCAATCTTTCCTCTGCAGTTTTCATAGACATTCCCGGCGTGCTCGCCTTTGTGGACTTTGTCAATTTGGGCTCCTACGACTTCCAGACGCCGCAACGTGATCCCAAGCAGGCGGATCTGCCCGCCCCACTGTACGCCATGTACGATCGGGATGCCACCCACAATGTGCAGCATCAGGTGCAATATTGGCTCAATCACACGGCCAATGCACAGCAGCTGAACATTGGCATCACCAGCTATGGACGCGCCTGGCAAATGAGCCCCAACTCCGGCATTACCGGTTTCCCGCCCATTCCGGCCACGGAGGGCGCCGCTCCGGCTGGCAAACAGACGGGCCAGCCCGGTTTGCTCAGCTGGCCCGAGATCTGTGACCTGTTGCAGCAACATCTGGGCCAGGGCAAGGACACGGACGGCCAACATTTGCGCAAGGTGGGCGATCCAACGAAACGTTACGGCATCTATGCCTATCGTGCGGCTGGTGACAATGGCGAGAACGGCCTCTGGGTGGGCTACGAGGATCCCACAACGGCGGCCATCAAGGCCGGCTTTGTGCAGGCTCACGGCTTGGGCGGTGTCGCCTTCCATGATCTGTCACTAGATGATTTTCGTGGTCAATGCGCGGGCGAAAAGTATCCAATTTTGCGCAGCATTAAATATAAATTGTGAGAACTGGAAAAATAAAAGAGCTCCTGTGTAAACGATTGGATGGAAATAAAAGAATAAATAATAATAAATAAAAAGCGTAAAGAACAAATAATAGTAAGAAAATAAATAAAATAAAAAAAAATGTTTTTCTCTCTTCTCTCATCCCATAAGATTCATACCTTATATTCCTGATAAGGACGACGAGGGATCGTCTGTCTATCCATCTGTGTCTCCAGATCTCTGCAACTGGAAAACCCAGAGACTTAATATTTTAAATGTATATTCTCCCAATCCATACGCAAGACAAGTCAATTACTTTGTTTCGATATTTAGTTCCAGTTTCATAATATCGATAAATATCGATTTTGAAACATGTTCTTTTAAGCATAACTCGAAGATTATAAAAGCTAGATGCACCAAACTTGGTTTGCAGATTCTCGTATAGTATGCACAGATCAAGAATCTTTCACTTATTTTGTAGAACAGGGTATAGCTTCGGTCTGTACAGTCCGATCTGTATGAAAATTTCAGCGCTCAGATATAATCACCGAGTTGTGTGTATATACTTTATACTACTAAATATACTAGAGTAGTATACTAGATTAGCATAGATGCAGTATAGAAAATTTCATAAACATCGGACCCTAAAGCCCGAAGCTTTATATAACTGCATTTTCCATGCTGAGGAGAGAAACAGCTGCCTAAAGCACGCAGTTAGCGGCTTTTCCAACTAAATCTGCTCTCTTGAATTTCCATAATAATTCTATAAATCGCATTCTATACCAGCTAGTGCATATAAATGTTATGCCATTCGGGCTAAGAGCCTTTTGCCATATATTTTCTTCTCTTATATTTTTGAATAGTGTTTGCAGTTTCCATTGCAGCTTCCACATTTAAGCCGCTTTTCATGGACTGGCATGAACACAACGGAAAATGGAGAGAAAATAAAAGCAAAGAAAACTCAACCCAGTGCGAAAATTTCAAAGGACGCCTAAAAGTACGCTACAATAAATTGATACACCCAGCCGAGCAAAAAGTCGAGCACGGAAAATTCCAACAAAGTGCTGGGGGGACAGTTAGTAAACGGGCAACAAAAAAAATATGTAACCTGTAAAGGTAAAATGCAAAAAAACGTCGCATTAAAGCAAACGAATCTGGCGATGCAGAAACCTGGACTCGCAGTGGGCGTGGTCGTAGGGCGAGACGCGGCGCGGCGAGACGTCCAAAGTAAAAGTTGAAATTAAAACAATTAGTTTGACTGCACACCCGCAACCCGCTCCCCCCAGCGCTGCCAGCTACCCTCGACTCTGCAATGAGGCGCAAAAGAAGGGCGACAGCCGAATAGGGGGCGTGGCTGGCCGAGTGGGCCAAGCAGGCGGCAGCTCAGGCGGGCATTTAGGCAGGCTTCTTGCCATTTGAAAAGAGAGTGTGTTTTACACGACGTGCCTCCACCTGCAAGCGCACCTGGCCAGCTGCCCACCTGGTTACCTGCCAGGCTGCCAGGCTCCCAACTCCAGCTAAAGCTGGCGGCGTCATAAATTAATTATGATTTAACAACTTTGGCATGCGCGACACGACGCGGCGCGACGCGGCACAACTTTGCGCTTTTCATTTTTGTGTTGCGCTCGAAAATGCTTTTTTTTTTTTGCTGTTTTGTTTTTTTTCAATTTTAATGAGCGCAAAAGGTTTTAAAGTTTTTTCAAAACATAATTATACCCAGCACAATAACAGGCAGCAAGGGGTTGACGCAGTTCGATTGGAAAACTTTTTCTCTATCGAATTTCAAATATATTTAAGAATAGGTCTCTTCATTTTAGGCAAAATAAAAATAACACTTCTCGTATTTAAATAAATTTGTTTAATCAGAATTTGTCTGTAATTAATACTTTCACATTTTTTAAGTAAATCCTCAACAGGTTTTAATTGCAATTAATACTCTCTCTTGTTTTAGGCAATTTTTTTATAATCTTTCTTTTTAGTTCAATTTTTTGTATTTTAGTTTCTTTAATATAGAAATCCAAAATAATTTTAATAAAATTCTTTTTATAAAATTTAAATTTTAAATATTTTAAATTTTTAATAAACTAGAGGCATTAAATAATTTAAGCGTGTATAGTATTGAGTACACTTAAAGAAAATACCAAAGTTTTTATTTAAATCAAGTAAAAAAGTGCCTAAAAAGCAGCTTATCTTAAAATCTCTTAAGCTGAGCACAAAAGTCTTAATTTAAGAACTCTTCTTTAAACTCCAAAATATTTAAATAAAATGCATAAAAACAGTTCTCAATCAGAAATGTGCTGTACTTACATTGAGCGCGTTGCATGCTTTATTTAAGCAGGCAAAATCTTGCTTACAATGAATTTTCAACTTGATTCATACTTAATTTAAGAAAATTCATACTTAATTTAAGAAAATGCTCAATCGAAATGTACAAATTGTAGACACAAAAGGGCTTGAGTTTAATTTAAGCAGGCAAAATATTGCTTACAATGAATTTTCAACTTGATTCATACTTCATTTAAGAAAACTCATACTTAATTTAAGAAAATGATCCAGCGCAAAAGGGCATGTGCCTTTAACTGCTGAAGCACGCCTTTTGTTACGCCCCTTTTCTCGGAGTGCATCATCTAGATTATGAAAATAATACTTTCTTTCTTAATTGAAGTTATTTTTATGGTAAAGGAAATGTTGTGGCACATATTCTTGGTCAGGCAAGCGAACACGTAAACTTTATTCAAAACATTTTACATTTGGTTAAATACAAAAAAAAAGGCGAAGGTAAAATGCGTTCATTATAGGCTGTGATTACTTTACTGCTTGCCGGCGCCGCTTTTGATGTCCTCGAAAGCCTTTTGCCAGAGCTTGTCAAACTGTTTGGGCAGCTTGGCGCGCACCAGGTCGGCAAGGCGACGCGCTCCCTGCAGATTGGCCTGCTCGTAGTAGGGCAGAGCCGAGATTCGTGCCAGCCAGGCGCTCAGCTTGGGATACTTCTGTGGATCCAGCGGCGCGTAGCACAGATCCAAGGTGCTCAGCGTGGCGACAATGCTGAAGTCGGCAATGGTCAGCTGCTCGCCGGCCAGATAGGCGTGCCCGGCCAGAAACTGTTCGAGCAGCGCATACGACTCGTGCAGCTGGGCAATGCGTTGCTTGGGCAGCTCCGTGGCGTGCTCCTGGAAGAGCAGGCGCTGCAGCTCCTTGAAGCTGACAAACAGAACGCCCGACTCGAAATGCAGGCGCTGATCGACAATGGCGCGAGGCAGCGGCTCGCGCGGATACAGTGCATCATCCGTGGCATATTTCTGCACCAGATAGCCAATTATGGCATGCGAATCCCAGATGTATGCCTCGCCATCCTCCAGCAGGGGCACCGTATGCTGCGGATTCTTGCGCACATAATCCGCCTCCAGATGCTCGCCAGCCAGCAAATCCACCGGCCGGAACTCGTGCTCCAGCCCCAGAGCGCGCAGCGTCAACAGCACAGCGCGCACCGGCGGACTCAGCTCCGTGCCAAACAGGATGAGCACCATGCCTGGAAGGATCTATGGAATTCGAATGGAACTTTAAGCAATTCGTTAGCGGATTCTGCGCCCGCTTCAGGCCAGGGCAGCGAAGTTTCTACTGACACAGCGCGAGTCGACGAGTGCATGAAACTGATTTTGGACAAGGAGATTAGATAAGATTAGATACTAACAACAGGCACTAACTAGCTAGCTAACTAACTGCTGGAGACGTCATAATGCTGCAAGTTTAAGTTTTTGCCCGATTGTTTATTAATGCTACGCGCTAAGTGTCTGAGCCTTGGGCTCTTATCTATGGGCACAGCCAATATTTGCCCACAGCTCTGGGCCATGTGTCACGGGCAAGGCTAAAATTAGTCGCTTGGCTTAAAACCTAACTAACTAACTAACCCTGCTGATAGATTATTAAGACTGTTTGACAGTTTGCGTGCCTTGAAATGCATAAATTATTGAAATCAAACGAGGCAGAAAAGTTGAGAATGAGACTTTGAATACCCTACATTTACGCTATTGACATTGGCAGCGCACGCCTAGAATAATTGCGCATTTTAAATGTGCAGCAATTATTATTGGTTTTCCACTTACGTGGCCCTCGACACGGGCCACGTGTCCCCGGCCAGGCTGGGCCATATATAAGGTCCTGGCGGCCAGCACCTCGCATTTAGTCGCAAGTTTTAGTCAACACATGGGCAAACTTTTGATCTACGGCCTGGAGGCAAGTCCGCCGACACGAGCCTGTTTGCTGACGCTGAAGGCGCTGGAGCTGCCGTACGATCTGGTGCCCGTTAATATACCAGCCGGTGAGCATTTGTTGCCCGAGTTCCGGCAGAAGAATCCGCAGCATACGGTGCCATTGCTGGAGGATGAGGCTGCATATATCTGGGACTCGCACGCCATTATGGCCTACCTGGTGGGCAAATATGCGGCAAATGATGCACTGTATCCGACGGACTGTCGCCAACGTGCGATTGTCGATCAGCGGCTGCACTTCGATTCGGGTCTGATGTTCACGGGCGCACTGCGTCCCATAACGAGAAGTGTGCTCTTTCTGGGCGAAACGGCCATTGAACAGTCCCGCATCGATGCGGTGGCCGAGATCTATGACCTGGTCGAGCTATTTCTGGGCGATAACGATTTCGTGGCCGGCAACGAGCTGACCATAGCCGACTTTAGCTTCGTGTCGTCGATAAGCTGCCTGGCTGTCTACTTGGAGCTGGATCCGGTCAAGTATCCCAAGATCTTGGCCTGGCTGGAGCGGCTCAAGGAGCTGCCCTACTACGAGGAGGCCAATGGCGTGGGCGCTGCACAGCTGGAGGCTATGCTTAAGTCGAAAAACTTTACAATTGTTACTTAGTTTGGGTTTGGCTCTCAGTAAAATGCCCATTTTATGCACATACATAGAGCTAATTATAAAAATAAAATATTTAAAGAGCGCCTTACACTTGAATTCTCTTTAATTTATAATCATATATTTGTTTGGAACAGAAACTGCTGCGTCAAAGGTAAAGCAAGAGCGAGCGTTCACAGACAGAGTTCTTTAATGGCAAACATGAAGAGCGAAATCAGTTAACTATCTATACAATACACATACACATACGCTTAGCTTAGTCGGCATAAGCATTTAGGTGCGCGTGTTCTGTGAGAGAAAGTACCAGATCAGAACATTTGCATTGAGTAATAAATACTTTCTATTAATTACCCATTAGGCACATTTCGGAAGTAAGAGCACGTTGCTTAAGCACAGCTATATAAAACACACATACACACAGCTGAATTGCTATGTGATTTGTACGCTTGAATTTTTAACAAACTAACTGCAACTAGTTTTACTCTGATGTGCCATTAGCTCCCCCTCAGTACACCCCTTCGCTAATTAAAAAAGCATTAGCATTTTCTTTCACATGGAAAAAAAATCAGTGCAAATGTAATTTCGGCTAAAGTGCGAAAGTGAATGAAACTGTTCTCGACTTTAAAAGAGAGTAGAAATTTCCAGCAAACAAAGTTCGCTCTTAAGCTGGAGCCGCTTCGATCTCAGCAGCACTCGAAATCTGCCCACTTGTTTATCTCTCTATAAGGTCGACGCATATAAGGCATTGATGCGCCGCCTCACCTATCAGTTATCGTTGTCTAGTTTAGTCTCATCTCATCGACCAGCTCCGCGATGGTCTATGTGCCCAACGAAGCCCCAAGGCATCCCAAGCTTTCATTAGAAGTAAAAAATTCTCAGTAACTGCCTAAGCGAGCGGGCTTTATCAGTTTTCTATTGATTTTGTATGATTACATATGGATATGACGAGTTGTGGCTGACTCACTGACTGATTTAGAGAGCTGTGTGCGCATCGAACTAGCGACCGAAAAATTGCCGGTTCAATTTCAACAACAATTGTTCATTTTAAGCTTTTTTATTTATTTGTTCAATTTTTTTTGTTTTGTAATCAATTAAAATACAATGAAGAATATAAAAATAAATAAAATAATAAAAATAAAATAAAATAAACAACAACGAGTTAGCATTAAAAGATACCTCTTTTGTTTTTTATTTAAACGCTCGAGAAGACGGAAGAAAGAATGATGTGTTTTATTTCAATTTAAAACTATATGTTTTTATTATTCAAATTATTTAATAAATTCAAACAAAAGAAATCATCAACATTGGTTAATTTTTATACATACCGCACGGCCCACGCATAAATTTCCACAGTCGTGACGTCACAAATCAAAGAGAGCACAATTCTTTGCAATCGAACTATCGAACTGCTATCAACCTTCAAAGAGCGTAGGGAATTTAAAATATGTGCCCATAAAGTTTGCATTATCTTTTCTCTCTTGCACACGAAATTCGGCAACTTGTTCGCCTCTCTTTGAGCTGGAGAGCATATAAAAAGCGTCGGCGCGACCTGTGCCCGGTCAGTTAACGTTGACAAGGCGAACAGGTTGAATATGGGTAAACTAGTACTATACGGTGTGGATGCCAGCCCCCCAGTGCGTGCTGTCAAGCTGACGTTGGCTGCACTGAAGCTGCCCTACGATTACACCGTGGTCAATGTCCTGAACAAGGAGCAGTTTGCAGAGGGATATCTGAAGAAGAATCCGCAGCACACGGTGCCTCTGTTGGAGGACGGAGAGGCGCTCATTTGGGACTCGCATGCCATAATCGCGTACTTGGTGAGCAAATACGCCAAGGATGACTCGCTGTATCCCAAGGATCTGCTCAAGCGCGCTGTCGTCGATCAGCGCCTGCACTTCGAGGGCGGAGTCGTCTTTGCCAATGCTCTGCGCAGCATTACCAAATACGTTCTCTTCCTGAACAAGACTGAGGTGCCCAAAGAGCGCATCGAGGCAATTACCGAGGCGTACGATTTTGTCGAGGCCTTCCTCAAGGATCACAACTACATTGCCGGCGATCAGCTGACCATTGCGGACTTCAGTCTGATCACATCGATCACCTCGCTGGTGCCCTATATCCCCATAGAGGCCTCCAAGTACCCCAAGCTGAGCGCATGGATCAAGCGCTTGGAGAAGCTGCCCTACTATGCGGAAAATGCGAAGGGTGCAGAGCAATTCGCAGCTGTTATTAAAAGCAAAAAGTTCACAGTAGTTGACTAAGTGAGTCGGCATTATTAGTTTTCCAATTTGCAATAAATGTTTTATGACTATTGATAGTTATCTTATCATAGATAATCGATATTGTTGAAATTTTTCCGTAAAAGCTCTTGGGGGTACGTGGACGGGTGAAAGAGAGAGATAGTTGCGTCTAATGGAAAAACATGCATGATTTGCCAAATTACGGTTTATCAGTCACAATCGATAGAGCCGTAGTTTATGGGGGGAATTATGCTCTCTGTGCCTTGAGTGCGCATTGCACTTAGTCATTGAGTAATGAATATTTATTTATCTATTTATTACTCAATGGCGCTAAGTATAAAAATTTCCCAACTTTGAAGCTTATCTCTTAAAATAGTTAAAGCGAGTGACGTTTTACTTTAATTCATTAACTGCTGCCTTATTGTGCTCTTCGCTAGTGCTAGTGTTAAAAGAGAGAGGGAGAGCGATAAGGTAACTATGGAATTAGAAAATAAAGAGTATATTCCAAATATGTTTTCTGCTTTGCCCCTTTTTATCTCTATTTTTTCTGCTAGTTTTTTGGCAGCGCTGTAAAAGTCTTCTCAGAGTTCAGTAATTACTCAGTTGGCGAACCGGCAACATGGTCAAGCTGACGCTGTACGGCCTCGATCACAGTCCTCCGGTGCGTGCTGTCAATTTGCAGGGTGCAAAGCAATTAGCAGCTGTTATTAAAAGCAAAAAATTCACAGTAGTTGACTAAGTGAGTCGGCATTATTAGATTTCCAATACCCTGTCAATAAATGTTTTATGATAATTTATAGTTATCTTATCATAGATAATCGATATTGCTGAAATTTTTCCGTTAAAGCTCTTAGGGGTACGTGGGTCTAATGAAAAACATGCATGATTTGCCAAATTACGGTTATATCAGTCACAATCGGGAGAGCCGTAGTTTATGGAGGGAATTATGCTCTCTGTGCGTTGAGTGCGCATTGCACTTAGTCATTGAGTAATAAATATTTATTTATCTATTTATTACTCAATGGCGCTAGGTATACAAATTTCCCCACTTTGAAGCTTATCTCTTAAAACAGTAAAAGTGAGTGACTGTTTACTTTAATTCATAAACTGCTGCATGATTGTGTTAGCTCTTCGCAAGTGTATTTAAGAAATATATAAAGATAGAGAGAGAGAGAGAGAGCGATAAGGCAACTATGGAATTAGCATATAAAGAGTATATTCCCAATATTCTGCTTTGCCCCGTGTTCACTCTGTGATTTTGCTGCTACTTTTTTGGCAGCTGCTGTCAAAGTTCTTCTCAGGCTTCAGTAATGGTTCAGCTGGCGAACCGGCACCATGGACAAGCTGACGCTGTACGGCCTCGATCCCAGTCCGCCGGTGCGTGCTGTCAAAATGACGCTGGCCGCACTGCAATTGGCCTATAAATATGTATGTCAACGTAAATGAACTCAATGTACAATGATAAGCATCACCCGCATGGTGCTCTTCCACAAGGATCAACCCTACATGGCTGGCGATCAGTTAACCATTGCCGACTTTAGTCTCATCTCGTCGATCACCTCGCTGGTGGCCTATGTAGACATTGATGCCGTTAAATATCCCAAGCTCAAAGCTTGGATGTGTCGCATGGAAGAGCTGCCGGTATATGCGGAAAATGCCAAGGGCGCGGGACTTTTTGTGGCTTCGGTTAAGAAGTCAAAGTTCACAGTGGCCACATAAGAGCAGAGAAGAGAGAGAACAGCCGCAACAACGTTCACAGTGGCCACATAAGAAAAGCGAAGAGAGGGAACAGCAACAAGTGATAGATTCATGATACATAAATAAAAACAAATAAACAAACGTAAGACATTCAAGAGCGGGCACTCTCTTTATTTGGCAAAAGCTCAGGTAAGGCACATAAAGCATCATTACCAATAGCTTACTCTTAAATATATCAATCACTCTCTTAGCTTAAGGCAGCAGTTAGGATGAAGACTTAAAGCTATTGCGCTCTTAACTTTAAGCTTAACATTATCATTTAATATAACTCTTTTGAGTCAATTTGTAGGTTAAAGCTTTTCTGAAATGATATTGACTGTAGGATATAATTATATCTGCTTATATAGTTAGCTTTGATAACCTCCTAGTATTATCTAAGTTAAAGCTATTAAGCATCAACTCTTGATCTTAACTAGTGTCCTGATGACCTTCAATATAATAATTAAAATATAATCTTAAATAATCTTTTAGTAAGAGGAACACTGACCTTTTTCTGATTGCCTTAAAATACCTGCGCCGCACTTACCTTACACATTTTGTAGGTTATCAACATCAGTTATCAGTTTATCGACTTGGTTTTCTTATCGCGCTGATAAGCTAAAAAACAGAGTCATTGCATTGCAAAAAAATAGACAGGTTTTCCTAGAATTGAAACGAATTCCGCAAATAACTTTAATCGTTTGTTATATAAGTGCAAATAACCGTAAACAATAGATAACAATTGTTTATATAATAGAAATTGTCTGAGTTTGAGCTTTATATAAGTTTTTAAGACCCAAACGGAGGATATTAAAATTTTGTATAATTAAATCTCTCGCTTTTAAAGCTTTCTAGATTAAACTTGACATAGATTCAGATTCGTCCAGATCGAATTACTATATCTTGTATATAAATATTCCAAGATATCCTGACAAAACTAGATAATTTAGGGTTTTCCCATGCTTGGACAACTATATTATATGTGTACTATTGGAACGATCGGTCGAAAGTAGAACTTTACTATGAAAATCCTGTTTGGGCAACAAAATATAGACTAGAGAACAGGTATATTGATTTTGTGCCAGACTGATTATCTTGTTTTTTTATATAATCAATTGGAATTGGTATCTAAATGCAATATAAGAGACTGTTTAATTAGATAATTGGCAATGGCATAAGTGCTACCCCTAGTATATATATTAAAATGTATGCATGCTAGTCAGTCAAGCCCCTCGGATTGCTGGATTGACAGTCGCGACAGCTGAAAAACTATATACGAAACGAAATGGAATTAATTTTTATAGTAATTAATGCAAGCAGCGATTCGCACACGATTACAGCTCGAAACGCGAGAGGTTCAGTCCAACTACAGCCGTCCGAGCTCACAGACGTCTCTCGACTTTTTGAATAACATGGGTAAATTGGTATTGTATGGCCTGGAGCCGAGTCCACCGGTGCGTGCCTGCAAGATGACCCTGCACGCACTCGGTCTGCAGTACGAGTACAAGCTGATCAATCTGCTGGCCGGTGAGCATAAGAACAAGGAGTATACCCTGAAGAATCCGCAGCACACGGTGCCCATGCTGGAGGACGATGGCAAATGCATTTGGGATTCGCATGCCATAATGGCGTATCTGGTGCGCAAATATGGCAAGGATGATGCACTGTATCCCAAGGATTTCTACAAGCGTGCCGTGGTCGATCAGCGCCTGCACTTCGAGTCGGGCGTCATATTCCAGGGCTGTATACGCAACATAGCCCTGCCCCTGTTCTATCGCAACGAGACGGAGGTGCCGCGCAGCAAGATCGATGCCATCTACGAGGTGTACGACTTTCTGGAGGCCTTTCTGGCCAAACAACAATATTTGTGTGGCAGCACGCTGACCCTGGCCGACTACAGCTGCATCTCCTCGGTGGCCAGCCTGCTGGGCCTGGCGCCCATCGAGCAGACGCGTTATCCACGGCTCAGCGGCTGGGTGTCGCGCATGGAACAGCTGCCGGACTATCAGTCTGTCAATGGCAATGGGGCGCAAATGTTAGTTGATATGTTTAGCGCAAAGATCACAAAGATCGTTTGAGTGAGAGATTTGCCACGAATTTGCATATAAAAAACTTGATTACATAATAAAAGCGCACAGATACAGTACGGCTTGTTTATTGTCTGTAGATTACTTGGGTGAAAAATTCATATTGCACAACGAACATGCACTCGAAATATCACATTTGAAAACAAATACAGTTGCTTGAGGACAAACTTGTTCAGGCACTTATTCGAAGTTTACATATATAAAGGTATTTAACAATATGCCGTTTGTCAAAATTGGGCTTTTTTTTTGTTTTTCGTTTCTTTTTAACAAATATTATTGCACAAAAAATAATGTTTTAGTGTGCGCTAAGTGCACAAAAAGGGGCGTGACAAATATGTAGTACTAAAAGTTATAAGTTTTAACAACTAAATTAGAGACCTAACTAAGACACGCGCTCCGAAATGCCCTGTTTTTTTCTTTTTGTTTGTCGTTCGCTCTCTTCGTGGGCAGCTAACTGGACGTCTTGCGCTTCTCGAGCGCCTTCCAAACCAGTTTCATGCGCTGCACGCACTCGCGATGCTGGGTTTCCCACAGCAGCGTGGTGAGTCGACCCACCGTGGCGATGCCATCATCGGCGCTGCGCACCCACTTCAGCAGCAATTGGTAGATGACCTGCAAGCAAACGTAGGGCAAAGCTTATCAGCTTGAAGTAATTGTGTGTAAAAGTTATTGACTGACTGACCTCCTTGATGTTGCCGTGCATTTGATGATCGATAATCGCCTGCTCGATCTGACCTTCGGAATGGCCAAGTTCGCGCATTACATGCTTCCAGCCCTCGCCCAGATGTGTGGCGACCGTGTCCAGCAGACGATCATCGGGCTCCTGCTGCGACTGCATCATGGCAACAATGCTGACCGTTTTACGGGGCACATGACGTTTCGCATCGGCTGGTGGAATGGCGCCCGCCACCTCCTCTGTGGTGCTGGTGCTGCCTTTGCGTGAGCTGCAGGCGCTCAGGTTTTGATTAAAATTATAAACTGAGCCAAAATGCAAATTGCTGGCATTCGAGAAGTTCATCACCACCTGTTGCTGTGCACTGTGCACATTCATGGTGTTCATTGTGTTGTTGTTGCCGCCGCTGTCACCATTGACCAGCGCGTTGCCTGGTATCTGCGCGGATTGCACCACATCCATGGAATTGTAATTGGGATCGGAGAGTTCGCGCAACACCGATTCGGTTAGATCTGCCGATGGTGTTGGCGTATTGGAGGGCAGCGATAGGGCGCCGCTATTGTTATCTGTCTCGCTGATCGGCAATGCATCTGTTTCTAGTCGTCCTTCCGAATTCATATTTGTTGTATTGCTGCTGGTGTGTGCCTCTTTGTTGCCGCCAAAGATATTGGGCAGCAAACTCTTTAGTTTTGGCATATTGTGTTTGCCGCGTGAGAAATTTGATTGTGCTATAAATAGTTTCTGCTTTCGGAAATGCCAAGAGAACGGGTATTTTCCGTGCTTATAGAGCAAGACTACAAAAAAGTCACTCGCTCTTTTTTCGTTTTTTGTCTTTGTTGTGAATGGCGCTATGGATGGCAACAAGTCGGACGGGCGTTGCCACTTTTGTTATCGATAATTGCGCCAGCAAAACACCCACAATATGCCAACCTATTGGCAACACCAAATTTCTTTTACCCGCAGCGCTGCCACTGCGAAACCGCCATGTGGCAACACGCTGCATTTTGCCACGTTCGCTCAGTTGCTCATTCATTCACTTTACTTGGAGTTGATATCCGTTTCGTGTGCGTATTGCAGTTCTAAGTAGAAAGTTTAAACTAAAATTAATAAAACCGTTTTAAACTAAAGCGTTTAAATATCAAAACAAACTGTGCGCGCTTAAATGAGCAATTTCAATTGCGCAAGTTTAACAAAAATGTGCCTAAATTTACTATTGTGTGGGCCGCAAGGCGGCGGCGACTTGAGAGAAAATTGAGGCCGCGGCTGCCGCAACGTGGAAACTTCTTACTTGCATTTTACAAGAAATTTAGTTTAATGCCCACGTTCGAGTGAAAATGCGGAATATATTAAATGAAAAAATCGCTTCAAATCATTCGAATGAAAACAACGTGTTTTTCAATAGTATTATCAACCGCACGGGCTGTCTGTCGCTGTCGTCGTCGTCGTCGTCACACATATGCAGGGCACGGGCACTCACTCACACGCACACAGTGAAAGACACAAAAGTCAGAGCCATATTTCGTTGTCCGCTGTGGCGGTTGCGGCGGCGGAGACTACAACGTCGTCCACGCATACACCAATAAAACTATGCACACACGAACATACTTATGTATATGTGTCTATGTCCGATTGACAGCAGCGGGAGCAACAACAGCAGACATAGTTGGCGGTGGCGGCGGATTTTGTATTTGTGGTAGTGCGCGCGTGCCTTTGTATGTGTGTCTGTGTGTGTGTGTGTGAGCGTGAGCCATACGATTTTTGAACTTTTAGTATTTCGTCTTTCACATACATACAGTACATCTAACCAAAATGCCCAAATTTTAAAGTGGCCCCCACACGATCAAACAAGTTGAAACCTTTACAGGCCTTTCACCCATATAAAGCGACAGCACTCACTCTTACAGAACATTTAGTACTAATACGCACTCAGCGCTCTTTCTCGCTCACTCGTTAGCTTCCGCCTACGCACACACACACACATATATATTTTATGCTCCAGTTTTGTGCGCTCAACTGCAGTGAAAACAATAAAAACAACAACAATAATTGTCCAATAAGTGGCCCGCATGTTTATGCATAAAGGTCGCCGCCAGTTTCTACTATAGGGCAGCGGTCGCTCTCTCCCGCTCTTCCTGTCATTCTGTACTCTCTTGAATTTATGCACATTTCTGTTAATAAACACGGCAGCGGCTTTCTAACGTTGCCATATGCTCCACCAATTGCAGTCAGTGTAGTGCATTTGGGGCGGCAGCACAAAAACATGTTTTTCCTTTTGTTTTTAGTTTCATATTGAAGGGTGGCATCTTTATTGCCTTTTGGTGTTTTACATGTTGCGATGCACTTAACAAATTCCACATTAAATAATTAAAACTCTTGTGTATTTGTATTGCAGCTGGAGACACGCCAAGTTGATCAAACTGGATTTTGTTAAAGGACAAATATAGGCCGGATTTTTTGGATTTTACAGTACAGTAAGTTGAACAACCTGCAAGCACTAAAACCAACAAAAATAACGTTACCGAACATAATTCCACATAATATTTTGTATACATTTGCATAATTTAGCATTTTACACACAGCCAGTGCAGCCTAACTTCAGCCAATATAAAAGCTAGTTTTCGAAGTGAGCAATATAAAAAAAATGCTACAAATTCCGCTGAATCTTTAAAAAAGCTATATTCAGCGGGGTAAAAGCGTAATTGGCAACACTGTTGCCTGCTAAAAGAAGTAAATGTCTTCTTTTTTTTCAGGTATGCAGCCGACTTTCATGCAAAACTGGCTACGTCAAGGTTTTTTTTAAGCTTACTGTTTTGTACATATGTACATATATCTTCCACTGCACATCTTACGGCATGGAGTACCGTTAAGCCAAAAAACAGACACAATTCGTTTAAATAAAAGCATTTAAATTAATATTGGTCTAAGCACCTTACCAAAAAACAATAAAAAAAAAAAGAAGAGTTTCTTTATGTAAATGTGCATGGAAAATGCCCAAGCTGAACTTTGGCTGTCTTGACGACATCAACGTCTCTGCAGCGCATGCATATGTATATAAACATTTGCATGTGCACATGTGTGTGTTTGTTTTTTGTTACCTGTGTCTTTTTTTTTTTCGTGCTGCCTCGAAAGGTGCCAAGCCACCAATACAAAAACGACGACGACACGAAAAATCAAGAAGTGCGCATGCAGCGCTGAACACAACACACAAACACACACATACATACGTACTCACACACACACACACACACTTGCCGATCGTTTTATGTAGTTGCCGGCTATCATCCGGTTTTATAGCTCCCCCCTTATAACCGCCCAGCACTTCATCAAGCTAGACTCCCTCTCTCGTTTGCTCGCTTAGCGTGTTTCTTCTTTTGACACATTTTTATACGCTTATGCGTGTGGAGCATCAATGGCATTGTCATGCAGTTTGTAACGCATGGGCATGCGACAAGAGAAAATCATCTTTGGAGCTGTTTGGTTTATCTTTTGAAGCAACAATAATACATAAATAGTAAATATGTACATTCGTCGTGTATTTTTTAAACAATTTTCCAATGCTAACTCTAGAAAATATTGTGGTATAGGGTATCTTGATTTCGGCTTTCTTTTTTATTTTCTTTTTCGTTCATTTCGTGTGTACGTGAAGCCAATGGCGGTGATAGTGGCAACGTCTTTTGTTGTTCTTCTGGCTGCTGCTAAAGCAGAAGAAAAATGTAGGCTAAAAAACTTGTTGGGCGCTGATTTAGAAAACCACACACACACATACACGCACACACACACGCACGCATGGACAACCAGCTTTGAACAAGTGCATGTCTTTAACGGTATTCAGATGAAATAGTTGGTAACAAAGAATGCTGCTACTCTCGATCTCTCGATCTCTCTCTCTTAGACAAGCTTTGCGGCCGTTTCTTAACCTTTCACTGGTCCAAACCGGACATTTTCTGGCACTAATAACAGCATTTATATAACATACACTAGTATTTGTGTACTTACATTGCACATACCTCTGTATTTATGCGTTTGTATTTATATCTTGGCTCGTTATCAGCCTGATCGATAGCTATCAGCTATTTGCTTTGAAAACTTTTGCCAGCGTGTCCGCTGATAGAGCACCAAAACTGTCCACTTATCACCCGATGCTCAAAAGCCGACCTCCACATGGAGTCAACATATACATACATACATATATATATATATGTACATATATGTACACATATTTATAGGTTAGCTTGTATATTCCCATTATTTTTTTGGCATAGCCATTACGTGGCCATTTCGCATTTTGTATAGTTAAGAACTAATGTCTAGCGTGCAAATAGAATTGGTTTATCAGCTGAGCTAGTCGAGACCCCGCCCTCCTCTCGCCTCTACACCTAGTAAAGCACGCTGTTATCACCAGAGCGTCAACGACATGCGGGTCGCAGCGTTATCAAGACCAAAGTAGATTTTCATGTGCCTAATGCCTGTGCTTCTGGTTTATCTAGGATTTATTTTCGTTCGCTACCAGGCGAGCGAACAGCAAAAGAAAATAAAAAGAATATATACAGACATATATATAAATATATATGTGCTTGTATATGTCCATATATAGCTCAGCTTTCACAAAGTTCAGTTAAATGCTAAGCGACAGTTGTTCAAACAAAAAAAAATTATACCAATTGTTTGTCATTTGAAACTTTAGGTATTTCAACTTAAATAATACCTCGTAAACAAATGCATTTTAGATGCAATAAATATGAGCTTATTGGGTCAGCAGTATGATTGGAGATCGATTATATAAATGTAAATAAATATGAATACAAATTCCTGTATAGATAAGAAAAGAAAAATATGGGATCACAAATGATAGTATAAAGTATAGCTATAGGTTAGGAAATACTATAAGATTGAAATTATATCAAATTTTGATTTAACTATTCAATATTTATTACCATATACAATTTATAACACCTAACATGCTTTGTTAGTATTCATAAGATCTCAGATATATATATAACACATACTTATACCCTGTATTTTCTTCGTTTTCTATTTGCAGTGTTACTGTAACGACTTGGAACGAAAAAGGACTCTTCTCTTTTTTTAAGTAATGCAAGCAGCAGTCATGGAGGAATCTAACGGTAAAGCAGACACGCCTGAATCCCTCTTTGAACAGCACTAATTATTTTTTGTATTTATGTAGCAACTAACATTGAGCAACAACCAAACGCACTCAACAATGGCCAGGAGCTGGTGTCGTCCAACGAGCAGCCATCGTCGCCCACTCCGGTGGCCACGCCCACTAGTAGCACCGGCACTGGCAATGCCACGCCCGCATTTAGCTATGACGATCTGTTCCCGGCTCTGCCGACGAACTCATCCGCAGCCGCGCCCCTTGGCCCCGCTGCGCCGGCAATTGCGCGTGTGACCAGCTCGCAGAAAACTCAGGTGAGTGCAAGATGTGCAATCTGTCATGTTGAACGATCCCCACTGATCCCCGCAACTTTCCATTTGTAGGTTCTGCATGTGCCCATGGAGGAGCGCAAGTCGACGGAATCTGAGAAATTTGGCGAGGGTGAGTCGAAGCGCATTTGCCAGCAGATCACGAAGGAGACTGGCGCCCAGATTGAGATTGTCAGCGGCAAGAATCAATCGCTCACGTTCCTGATCAAGGGCAAGCAGAGCGAGCTGCTCGATGCGCGTCGCAAGATCCTGATGAGCTTCTCGACGCAGGCCAGCCGCCAGGTGAACGTACCCCGTGAGCATTATCGCGTCATTCTGGGCAAGCGCGGCGAACGGCTGCGTGAGCTTGAGCGTGTCACCTCGACGCGCATCAATATACCCCATCAGGGTGATGAGAGCGATGTGATTACCATTGCCGGCACCAAGGAGGGTATCGAACGTGCCGAGCAGGAAATACGCCAATTGTCCGCGGAGCAATATAAAAAGTCATCGGACCGGACGACGGTGCCGAAGATCTATCATCCGTTCATTGTGGGCCCCTACAATGAAAATCTGAACAAGCTGCAGGAGGAGACGGGTGCCAAGATCAATGTGCCACCGCAGCAGGTGCAAAAGGAGGAGATCATCATTTCGGGCGAAAAGGAAGCAGTTGCCGCCGCCAAGGCAAAGGTGGAAGCCATCTACAAGGAGATGGAGAAGAAATGCTCAACGGTTAGCGTTGAGGTGGCCAAGCCCCAGCATCGCTATGTCATCGGACCCAAGGGCTCCACAATTGCTGAGATCCTGCAGCTCACTGGCGTCTCCGTTGAGATGCCGCCCAATGATTCGATCTTAGAGACGATAACGCTGCGTGGACCCCAAGTGGCGCTGGGTAATGCACTAACCGTGGTCTACCAGAAGGCCAACTCGGTGAAATCGGTGGAGATCAATGCGCCGCATTGGATACACAAGTATGTGATCGGACGCAAGGGTGCCAACATGAAGCAACTCGAGGAGGATTGCCCCAATGTGAATGTTAACTGCTTGGAGAACAAGATCAAGCTGGAGGGCGATCCCGAGAATGTGGACAGGGCTGTCTCCTATCTGAATGACATCATACGCAACTATGAGGAGAACTTCACGTACGAGGTGATGACCGTGAATCCATCGTACTACAAGCATATTATTGGCAAGGCGGGCGCCAATGTGAATCGCCTCAAGGATGAACTGAAGGTGAACATCAATATTGAAGAGCGCGAGGGCCAGAACAATATACGCATCGAAGGACCCAAGGAGGGTGTGCGCCTGGCGCAGCTTGAATTACAAGAAAAAATCGACAAACTGGAAAATGAAAAGTCAAAGGATGTGATCATCGATCGTCGCCTGCATCGCTCCATTATCGGCGCCAAGGGCGAGAAGATTCGCGAGGTGAAGGATCGTTATCGCCAGGTAACAATAACGATACCCACACCCCAGGAGAACACCGATATTGTGAAACTGCGCGGACCCAAGGAGGATGTGGACAAATGCCATAAGGACTTACTGAAGCTCGTCAAGGAAATCCAGGAGTCATCGCACATCATCGAAGTGCCAATTTTCAAGCAATTCCACAAGTTTGTCATTGGCAAAGGCGGCGCCAACATCAAGAAAATCCGCGACGAGACCCAAACGAAAATCGATCTGCCCGCCGAGGGCGATACCAACGAGGTGATTGTCATTACTGGCAAGAAAGAGAACGTACTGGAGGCCAAGGAGCGCATCCAAAAGATTCAGAACGAACTCTCCGATATTGTCACCGAAGAGGTGCAAATTTCGCCCAAATACTACAACTCCATCATTGGCACCGGCGGCAAACTGATCTCCTCCATAATGGAGGAATGCGGCGGCGTCACAATCAAGTTCCCCAACAGCGATTCCAAGAGCGATAAGGTAGGCGCAGCAATCAACGCTATTCCACAGCCATTCTAATCTTGAACTTTTGTCTCTCGCAGGTGACCATTCGCGGTCCCAAAGATGATGTGGAAAAGGCTAAGGCCCAGCTGCTGGAGCTGGCGAATGAGCGGCAGCAGGCCTCGTTCAGCGTTGAGGTGCGCGCCAAGCAGCAGCATCATAAATTCCTCATTGGCAAGAATGGTGCCTCCATACGCAAGATTCGGGATGCGACGGGTGCACGCATCATCTTTCCCTCAAACGAGGATAGCGACAAGGAGGCCATCATTATTATTGGCAAGGAGGAGAGCGTGAACAAGGCCAAAGAGCAGCTGGAGGCGATCATCAAGGAGTGCGATGAGGTTACCGAGGGCGAGGTAACCGTCGATCCCAAGCACCACAAGCACTTTGTGGCCAAGCGCGGCACCATCTTGCATCGCATCTCTGAGGAGTGCGGCGGTGTAATGATATCCTTCCCACGTCCCGGCACCAACTCCGACAAGGTGACAATCAAGGGCGCCAAGGAGTGCATCGAGGCGGCCAAGCAGCGCATCGAGGAGACTGTTGCCGATCTGGAGGCGCAGACAACCATCGAGGTGGTCATACCCCAACGCCAGCATCGCACCATAATGGGCGCACGCGGTTTCAAGGTGCAGCAGGTCACCTCCGAGTTCGATGTGCAGATCAAGTTCCCCGATCGTGATGCCACCGAACCCGTCGAGGGTCTGACCAACGGCGTCAACGGTGACGGCAGTGAGGGCGGCGCCGAGGGTGAGCCCAGCGCGGAGCCGGTGCGTCAATGCGATGTTATTCGCATCACCGGACGCATCGAGAAGTGCAATGCGGCCAAGCAGGCGCTGATCGATCTAATACCAATCGAGGAAGAGCTGAATGTTCCTTTCGATCTGCATCGCACCATCATTGGACCGCGTGGCGCCAATGTGCGTCAGTTCATGTCCACGCACGATGTCCATGTCGAGCTGCCGCCCAGCGACCTCAAGTCGGACATCATTAAGGTCTCCGGCACGCCCGCACGCGTGGCCGAGGCACGAGAGGCGCTCGAGAAGATGATTGAAGACTATGAGGCAGATCGTGCTGATCGCGAGCTGCGCTCATTTGTGCTCCAAATAGAGGTCGATCCAGAGTATCACTCCAAGCTAATTGGTCGCCAGGGCGCTGTCATTAATAAGCTGCGCGCCGATCACGATGTCAACATCTCGCTGCCCAAGCGTGATGATCCCAATCAGCGTATCATTTCCATTACCGGCTACCAGGCCAAGGCCGAGGCAGCACGCGATGCCATCTTGGAAATTGTCGGTGAATTGCAGACGCTGCATCGCGATGTCATCGAAATCGATACGCGCATCCATTCGCACATTATTGGCCATCGTGGACGCACCATTCGCAAGATCATTGACGATTACAAGGTGAGCAGGCAGCACATGGAACCCAATGAATATATATTTAATCAATACATTTTTCTTTATAATAAACCAGGTGGACATCAAGTTCCCATCTGCCGATGATCCTCAAGCCAATCCGAATGCTGTGACCATCATTGGCAAGGAGGAGGATGTCGAGAATGCCAAGGAAATGCTCCTGAGCATGGCCGAGGATTATGAGCGCGATTATTTGGAGAATTTGCCGCCATCACCGCAACCGCAGACTGTGGGCGCCTTCCTCACTGGCGGAGCCGGCGCCAGTTCCGGCTCTGGTGGTGGCACCAACGAGAACGGTTTCATCATCAAGGATGCACCGTGGGAGAAGAAACAGCAGGCCAAGAATCTAACTGCGCCCAATACCCAATCGCAGGAGGATTTCCCGGTCTTCGCTGCTGGCGGTGCTCCAGTTGCGGCCACGCCCATTACCTCCGTGTGGGGACCGAAGAACTAAGCAGTAGTCCAATCAGCGGCAGCCGCAGAGTGCGACGGGGATTTGGGTAACGGAACGAAACAGAACGGGCGGGCGTACTGTCGGGCGTTGAGCAGCAACAGCAGGCGTGCTCGAACGGAGTCCTTAGTCGAAAACTAGTGTCAAAAATGGTACAGGTTGTCTCTCTCTCTCTCTCACACTCACTCTCTTTTCCCTCTCAGTCACTCTCTGTCTCTCTTCTTCACTCACTCCCAGGAGCTTTTCTACAATGCAATTCAAAACAAACGACAAATGATAAAAACTATTTTTGTATAATTTGATACAGAGAAACTCTGACCCCACACTCACACACCAATACACACACACACACACACAACATGCTCAGACACTTGAAATTGCATTTATACAAAGAAGAAAAAACAAAAATCAAAAAGAAACTTTATATTAGCGCCAGATTTTGCTCCCCTTTGTCCTTGTTCCTGCCCATTTGTTGCTTTACCCTCCCGCCCCCAATCCTCAACATATGACTTAAATGCCAATTTCTTTTTATAACCATATTTCAATGCATAATATTCTAATTAGTTCAAGCTACTTAACATTAAGCAGAAAGTTCAACAAATGTTTTGTTAAAAGTGGTTGCAACAACAAATTTAATTGATTGAAAACATGATATTTTATGAAAAACAAAAACAAATTACGGTCAAGAACGATTTATAATTATTGTAAGCATAAAATGTTAAATATTTACTACTATTGCGATTGCTGCTCTATTTTTTATTACAAATCTATTGTTTGTTTATTTTTTTGCCGTGTGTTTCTCTCGTGAAGTAACACGCCGCCAATCCGAACCGAGTTATTAGTTTATTTTATTTCGCCTTTTTTTTTGGGAAAGTGCATGGTAAAAAAAACGTTTGTAATTGTATAAAGAAGTGAGAACGAGCACTCAAATTGAAAAGATGAGAAATTGAATTGGAACAGCGATTAATTGAATTGAATTACATACAAGCATGTACTTTGAAATTATAACATACATATATATTTACATATATAGATTATTTAACGCACGCCTGCTTCTGCTCCAACAACCAACCAGCTTTATATCCCACACAAACCCAATCACATTTCAAAATGAATACAAACATTTTAATTTTGTGCAATCTTCTTGATTTATATTAAATTGTTTTCGACTTATATTTGCCACTTAACAACTTTCAACATATATATATATATATACACATTTATGATTTGAAGTTGAAACACAAAGTATGAAAAATTCAAACAAAATAAAAAATATTACAATTTTTTACTTACCATTCAATATAAAACAAATACAAAAAATATAAAAAAAAAAATAAAAACAAAATAAAACCAATAAAAAACGTAAACAAATTATATATAGTTTGATTTCTTGTGTTTAATTTTACTTTAATTCTTCTTCTGTTCGCTTTTGTTTTATGCGGTAATTCCTTTCGACAAGAAAAACGAATAAGCAAAAAGAAACACCAAGAAAAAAGAACAGACCTGATATTGTAAATTTTTTAAAATATACATATTTACAACCAACTGCATTAGTAACTTTAAGAAACGTAGTAAATACAAAACAAAGTACATATATAAATGTATATATTTTCCTATATTGAAGGACGTAAATCAAATGTAAACGTAAACGAAGCGACGACGAAAGCTGAAAAGCAAACCTTTTTTCACTTATGGCATTTTTTTCCAAAACAGGCTATTCAGATACGAAAATAAGGTATTTTATTTCTTTTGAAATACAAACAAAAAATATTTTAAATTATAAAATCATTTTCACTTGTTTTGAATTCGCGCTGCTCCAACTTCACTATTAACCAGTTGGCAACGCCGCCCGGCCGTGCCTATCGATAAGCTGGCTGCCATCACTATTTATCAGAAAGCACAGCTACTTTTTCCGTGCTTCTTCTTTCGCAAAAATTCTTGTTAAAAACAAAAAATAAATAGTTAAAGTAGTGCTGCAGTTGAATTGAACTCAAAGCCGAAACATTAAGGAGATCAGAACACTAGCCCAGCCATGGAGGATCGTAAGTGTGCGATAAATGTATATAATGCAGTTTTCACAAGCGGACTTCGAGTATTTGCCGCATGCAATTGGGAAAAGTGGTCGCGTGTTCGCTGTGATCCCTGGTCCGCTTATTGGAAGCGTTTTTGTCAAGAGACGCGGGGCGCTAATTAGAAGACAGTTTTGACCAAGAAAAGGTATTTCAGGTGGGAGGACGGTTAGTCTGGCTGCCTAATGGTTGGCTGTTCAAAATTAAGATGAGTCATGCCCGAAAGTCGGCTTGCGCCTGTCCCTCTGCCTCTGCAATGCATTGAACTCGTGGGAGTTATTTCCACATTTGCCACAAATACGTTTTGCGTGCTGTAAACATTTTAATATTTAATTCAGATCGCAAAATCTGACGACGTGGCAAGCATTTTGTGAATGTACTGCGTTGTTCTTTGTGTACATCCAGTGTTGCAACAATAACAACTACAGACAAAACGCGTAGCAACGCCTCCCATTTGCGCTCGGTTTATATTTTTAATTTAATATACACAAATTTACTGTGGCAAATCAAATTTTAATTACATTTTGTGGCTTGTTTATGTGTTCGACGTCTATTGAGCGCAAATCATGTTCCTTCAATTGACAGCAGGCAACACACACACGCACGCACAGTTTGAGCCCATCCCCCTTCCACTTGTTGATCATGCAATTCTTTAACTCTGCTAACTTGGCACAAAAAAAAAACAACCTTAAAGAAGAGGGGGAGAGAGAGAGAGAGTCCAAGAAGACAATGTTGTGTTGGGCTGCACAATTTGTAAAGCTGTGCTCTCTGTCTGGGCGCTCTGGCGTTGCCAACTTGTTGAGTTACAGTTACTACAGCGAGCAGAGCGCTGCGCAGCTTACCAATTGGAAGTTGAGCTCAGTTTAAGTGTGGCTGTGGCAGTGCGCGGTAGCATAAGAGACACGCGCGTTTCTTTCTTGGCAGCGAAAAAGAAAACGCTTTTCAACATGAATCTGTAGAAATAATGGGCAAAAGCAAAAGAACCGAAACATCTAACAAAGCCAGAAAAAACAGAAAACAAATCTGGTCGAAGCGCTCGCTTTGAAATGTGAGGAGGTTCCACATGCGCCGCCACGTTCCAATTAGAAAGTGCCCGCTGTTGTTGTTGTTGCTGTTTCTGCTGCTGCGGAACATGAGATAAACCACAGCGAGAGAGCGACAGAGAGTAAAAGATAGGGCAGCATGAGCAGCGAATCTGAGCCTGTTAGCTTGGAGTTCATCGAGGATTCTTATCTGCCGCGCATCGATGACATCACCACAACGCCATCGCTCGACGAGCTGGAAATAGCTCCGGAGAGTGAAGCGGACTGGTACGATGAGACCGAGCATTATCTGCGTAATCTGACACTCGATGACATCTTCTATGATGTCGATTCGGATTATGCCAATACCCTAGAGCTGCAGGCCGTCGAAACGGAGTTCATTGCGGCCAAGTTGTCCAATCAGACGCCGTCGCAATCAATTGCGAAACGTTTTCGATTGAAATTCTTTACCAAACGAACCATGCGGGATGTTAAGGTCACGTTTATAGATTTCTCGAAACCTTATCTGGCCAAAATATCAAATAGTGATAATTATAAAAGATTTCTGACCATTGGTCAGGCTGGTGCTAAAGGTAAAGATTGGAGGGGGGGGCAACTCGAATGGGAATTGGGTAACATTTTTAAGGTAAGATTAGGAAACGGGGCAATTGTATTTCGAAATATCCAAACAAGTAATATTTGTAGTACGCTTCCAGTTTTTTCCAGAAAAACGTTTATATATGTATTAAATTTTTTGTTATTTTTTGGCGAACTCAAAATTGGGAACACGACTTAATTTAATTGCTTCGTGACTAATCAGCTTTTCTTAATTCTCTCTATTTCCCCCAATTTTTTGCTTACGCTATGCGCCGAACGAACAGTTTGTGAGTATTATTTGTGCCGGATACAATTTGAAATGTGAACAAAATTCTTAAGTCTTTATATACATTTTATACGAAACAAACCAAACCAAACGAAATTCGATATACTCAGCGCATGAAAAAGTCTTTGAGGAAGTTGTCTTCCAAGGAGGTACATAAAATCAAATCAGCCAAAAGCAAAAAACAAATTACAAAGTCGCGCCAGTTCTTTAGTTTTTCTTATTAGTAAAACAATTAAATCCATCTCTAAATATGTATATATAACTGTCTAACATTATGGTTTACGCACAGATAATAGCGCCCACTTGTCGGAGCCCGCTTCTCCAGCCGCATCTGTGGCATCTGCAGAAATTGCCGCCGAGTTTGCAGCGCTCACCATTGAGGAGAAGGAACAGCGACGCGCCGAATGGAGCCAGGCAAGTGCTAAGCACGTTTTGTATTATAATTCCTTAATAAAGAATACGCTTGTTTCGTTTGTAGGAGCTGGCACGCGTTGAGGAAGAGATCAATACGTTGCGCACGGTGCTGGCCTCCAAGACGCGCCATGCTTCCGACTTGAAGCGCAAGCTGGGCATTACCGTCTGGAAGGAGCTAACCGACGATGTCAATCAGGGCGTTAAGAATCTTAAAGAGAGTCACGTGTAAGTTGCCACTGCGGTAGCTGCACTCAGGCCCAACTGGCCGCCAGTCATTTTTATGTTCAATTCTATCTATCAATCTGGCTTTGATTTGTTTTTGTTATGCGTTTTTTTAAATTTGAAAATTTGTTCATATTTATTTAGTTACCAATCGATGGAACAGAGCGTGGGCAGCATATCTAAAGCAGTGCACGAGGCACCACTGTAAGTAATTGTGTCTGTAAGGATTCTGTCCCACTGGCTAACTAACCCAATCAACAGCTGTCCCATGTTTCTTTTAACATAAACGCTGCTTCTGTGTGTCAATAACCAAATGCATTGTCGTCTATATTATCTATGTCTCTCTCCTTATATATGTCTGATATTGCCCTAATTTGCTTTCGTTCTGGTTTTTTTTTCAGTTTCCAACGCACTGAATCAGTGCTCAAGACCACTGGCGAGAAAACGGCTTCAGTTTTTGGCAGCATTACGAGCGGCATTACGACCAAATTCTCACAAATGAAAAATTCTGAATCGATGCGTTCAATTGAAGCTTCGGTCGGCTCTGCCTATGAGAACGTTAAAGTAAGCTATGAACAGAACAATTTTTTGTGCCAATCTCATGCGGTAACTACTATTTTATTATATATATCTTCTATATCCTCTTATGCCTATGCTCATTCAACTCATTCAACATCTTGACAATTAACAAGTACAACAAAAACCAAAAACAAAAACAAAGACAAATACAACACTATCTACCCTCAACACTCTCCACACAGCATCTGCAACCATTTAGGCACACTTTAATCGGGGCTTACACTCGTCTAGGCACTTCTATACTCTATACTTAATATACTTTATTCAATAATCGCATGTACTTTGCTAAAAAAAAAAACGTTTGAGTATTTGTCTTGTTTGCTACAAAACTGTTCGGTTTTCTATTCTATTCTATTGTAGACGAAGGTGACATCCCGTTCGGGTTCGGTTTCCAGTTTCCCAGACGATCTGGATGAGAATAATTCACCATCGGGACTGAATTCACCCACAGACTCTCTAACAAAATAAATGCGTACACACACACACATAAGCAGCACGCGTAAAATAATCAAAAACAAAACATAATTACACCTTTATACACACACACACACACACACAAACATAAATAACACATAATTAACAATTGCGTTTAAATATATACATAGACATATTTGCGTGCGCACTAACACCAAGTACGGAATTTATTTATAAAATATATGTGTGTTATAATTATTATTACTATTATACTATTTAATGTATGTGTATCTTAACTTTAACAAATTTTGTTGGTAGCATACATACATACATATATTTACGTGTCTGTGTGTGTGTTGCACTATTTCAATAATTGTTTTGGTTAAAAAATCAAAAAAAAAACATGTGAATTTACCAGAGTTCTTTATGCATAAATCTAAGTGTATGTTTAATGTTTAAAGAGAAAACAATACAAGAAAAAAATCATGAAAATGTAAACCATTTAGCAATTGATAACACATATTTTCGCAAAACTTTGTTAACACACACACACACATGTGAGAAAGATAAACAGATAATCATTGTGCGAATTTCATTCCTATCTTCTTTGCGCTTAGCTCGACTAAAAAAAAAATATGTATAATATATATTTTTATATTTTCATTTATTTTTCTGTAGGCTTTGGGTCGTGTAGCTAAATGGCGTAACTGACAAATATTCCAAATTAATTTAAAGCTATTTAAACAATGAAAGAAACAAATGGAGCTTGCAAGCTAAATAAATAAATACATTGGTTATATTTAGAAGAAAAACAGCACCAATAATGTAAAAAATTGAATGCACATACACACATTACTGATTCGTTGCAACTACACTTGATTTAAGATTTGCTATATGTGTATGGGATCTTTAAATAAATACGAAAGTTTTGTGCCCCAACTTAAATGCTGCAGTTTACGTTTTAAAAATCCCGCCATGCTTTTTTGCGACAGTCTGGCAGCTCTATGCGCTAACCAGGGCTGCATTAAACGCGAACAGCTGCTCAGCAGAACAGCTGGCAACGCTCCGCAGTACAATTTTTTTAGTGACCGACAGAAAAGCCGTAAATGAAAAAATGACAAAGCTCTAAATGAAATAAAGTCAGCATCGTGATGCAGAACACTTGACAAGACAATTAGTGACTCCAGAGTGAAAGTGCAATTAAGTTTTAATAGTGTTTAATTAGTGTAAGTGCGGGCGCAGACATGAAGTACACATACTTATTTGTGCTCGTTTGGCTGGCCTATTTGATATGCAGCGGCGTCCTGTTGTTCTCACGAGGATTTCTGCTCGCACGCGTCTCCAAAACGGAGACCAGCACCTGCCGGCGTCTGTCCACAAATCCAAATGATGTAAGTGCCGTGCTCAGATTGGGAAAAGTGGGGAATTAACTCTTCTTCTTGCTAACTAGGAGTATCTGCTGACACCGGAGGTGGTGCAGGAGATTTTTAAGGATGTGAACGCCTCCTCGTCATCCAATCTATGTCTTCCACAAAAGTCTAAAGTCATTATGCTCGTCATCGATGCACTGAAATACGAATTTGGAGTTTTTAAAGAGAACACCACCGAACCGTTGCCTTATGAAAATAAACTAAGTGTGTTGCATCAGCTGCTGCAACAGACTCCGGAGCACGCGCGTCTGATGCGCTTTAAAGCGGATCCGCCGACGACCACGTTGCAGCGCCTAAAGGGCCTAACCACCGGCAGTCTGCCCACATTTATTGACATTGGCTCCAACTTTGCCTCGCCGGAGATCAACGAGGACAATGTCATAGATCAAATTGTGAAAAGCGAACTGCCGTTGGTATTCCTGGGGGATAGCACATGGACGGATTTATATCCGCGACGCTTTAAGCGCGCCTACTCATATCCCAGCTTCGATATATTCGATTTGGACAGCGTTGACAATCAAATAATGCAGCATTTGCCCAAGGAGCTGGCCAGCACAGATTGGCAGGTGCTCGTAGCGCATTTTCTGGGCGTGGATCACTGCGGTCACAAGCACGGACCCATACACGAGGAAATGGCGCGCAAATTGAGAGAAATGAATGATATCATAAGGTAGCTCTACAACTGTGTACAGGAGTAATATGTATTTAACAATAGTTATTGAATCTTTTAGCTCTGTGGTTGCTGCCATGGACAATGAGACCACGCTGCTGATAATGGGCGATCATGGCATGACGGCTAGTGGGGATCATGGTGGCGACACTGATGACGAAACGAATGCCCTGTTGTTTGCCTACTCCAAGCAGCATAAATTCTTTACCAGCAACGATTCGGGCTCTGATAGCGAATTGCTGCAGCAGGTAAAATAGATAAGACAACGTCTCATTATCTCAAGCACACACACGTCATGGAGATTACAAAAAAAAAACTACTGTTTTTCAGATTGATCTGGTTCCCACACTGTCGGCCATACTCGGCGTGCCCATACCCTACTCAAATTTGGGCTTAATCAATTTTAATATTGTGCCCGCTGTTGCTGTGCCGCATCTGAGTAAATTCCAAACATTGCTGCTGCACGCCTGGCAGAATGCCCATCAAATCTATCGGTATTTCTTCAACTACGCCTTGGAGAACAAGCGCACCTTTAATGTGGAGCAAATGGACACACTGGAAACGGAATTCATACTGCTCACGCACCGTGTGCAAACAATTTACAATGAGGCGGCATTCAAGTCGTTTGTGCGCGATCTAAACATTAATTTACGTGACATACTCAACGTCTGTCGCGAGATCTGGGTCAAGTTTGAGCCCGCACAAATGTCGCACGGCCTGCTGTTCAGCTTTCTGCCCATCTTCTTCGCCTTTCTGCTTATTAACAACTCAAATGCCAGCGATTATGCCAAGATTTTCAAGACCAAGGAGGTGTTTTACACATATCTGATGAACATTGCTGCCGGCGTCTTTGGCTATCGCTACTACAAGAACTTCTCGTTCAAGACGGAGGAGCATGGCGTTATATTCTTCACCGGTTTGCTGAGCACCGTCCTGCTGGCCTTCTATACGCTGCGCCACTGGAACAGCATTGCCAACAATTGGGCGAATGTCAAACGTTTTCGCCACATGCCCACGCGACTGCTGCTCATTGTCACCATGGCTGTGTTTTTCTCCAATAGCTTTGTCATACAGGAGGCCAAGATCTTATCCTATCTGCTTGTTGCAGTCATTCTGCTCCTTGCAGCTCAGCTGCAGCTGAGCTCGCGTCTGGACTTCAGGAGCAAGTTTAAGTGGTCGCAGTTCTTACGCTCTACCACATTACGTTTGATTTTGGCCAGCCTGTTGGCCATTTGCTGTATACGTTTCGCCTCCACGCTGTTTCGCTGCCGCGAGGAGCAAGGCAATTGCGCTGATTTTGCGAGTGCCAGCACGCCCGGTTTCTCCGTGAAAAAGCCAGCCATGGGCAAGACCTATGTACTGGCCGTAGTCATAATTGTTTTGTACACCACACTCACCCGCTTGTATTTGCGGTCCTGCGGCAATTTAACCGGCAACTCGCCCAATGTGCTATTGGCACGCTACGGTCCGACTGTGGCCTCCATTTGCGCTGGCGGTCACATACTGCTCGCGAATAGCGCCATCAAGAATATACAGCGCACTCACATTGATGCCATGGCTCTGGTCATCTACGGTCTGTTGCTGTTGCAAATTGTTGTTGTCTCGTGGGCGCCACTGATGACGTTTGTGCTGCCGCCCAGAAATCCAAATACCATCAGCGTTAATGGGCGTGACAGCATTGTGCCGGAAATCTTTCGGAAAATGAAACGCATGTATGAGGGGGATGACGATGCGGAGCGTCGCTATGAGATACCCGTCGTCTATGGCCTGGCCACCGTATACTCATCGATCATCATTTCGTTTGGCGTCTTTCTGGCCATGCTCATGATCGTGCTGCTTGAGCCCCGTGCGAGCATTGGCCTCATTGTCTGCGTGGTCGTCGGCGCCATTATATTGAGCGTGCATGGCATTCTGCGCTACCGCACGGCCGCCAGTTTTGGTGAGTTGTTGCCTTGATTAATTATAATTATGCGTTTTCAATTAATGCTCGATGGTTTGCCTTGCAGAGAGCTGCGTGCAGCCCACATTTAGCGCTGTGGTCGGCTGGTTTTTGCTGGCGCACTTTTGCTTCTTTGCCACATCGCATCAGACGACGCTCTCGCAGATCGACTGGCGCGCCGCCTTTGTGGGCCGCTCCAGCGCATTGGGACAGTCGCATCTCCTTTCTGGAACGCTGGTTATACTGAATACCTTTTGTGGGCCCATCTTTTTCTACTGCATGTATGCGCTGCTCAGCACGGAGACCTTTTCGCTGTTCGCCCTCTTTCCGAATCTCATCAAGAGCAGCAGCAGCAGCAACAGTCGCAGCAAAGCGGATGCAGCTGCTGCGGCACTGTCCGATATTGCCACCGATGCGGTGGGCTTTGATATGACACGCGGCGAGTTGGCATTGTATGAGTATGAAGATGTTTTCCTGGGCGCTGGTTTCAAGCTGGCCACGCAATTCTTTATGCTGCAGGGCCTCAAGGTGGGTGCTTTGTAAAATTATTAATTTAAATTTATAATAACTTGATTCATTTGCAGATCTTTTGCGCCATGCTCGCCTGCACCATACACTGCCGGCATCTGATGGTCTGGAAGATCTTTGCGCCGCGCTTTATCTACGAGGCGCTGGCCACCTTTGTGGGCCTGCCCTCGCTTATTGTGGGCTATCTGCTGCTGTTGCGCATCAATCGTGCTGTCGATGGACTTATCAAGCGCATCAACAAGGATAAATAGTATTATGGAAACAGCAACAGATATTAATTAGCTGCATATTTGCTCTAGTCCGCAGTCCCGCAGTCGTCCTGCAACTCAAAAGTGTGTATCACAAATTTTTCTATATGCCCAATATTTATTTAGCATTTACTAAATTATAGACTAGAAAAAAAACATATTTTTGGGTGGTCTTGACTTAGCTGATTTATTTTCGCCTTTACTACAGAGAAACTTCTTATTTTTTGTTTAGTTTTTTTTTTTATTACATTAGCTAAAGATACATTTATAATTAGACACAGAATATACAACTAAAAAGAATATGAATTTCTCGAATATTATCGAGGTTTTTAATATAATGACCGAAAATCAGCAAAAAAAATTAAGTACAAACGAGCGTCATATATATATATTAATTATTTAATTTGCTGTAAAATTAAACTAGACATCAGCTACACAATAGTAACATCTCGGTTAAAGTACACAAATTTGGGTGCAAACGAAAAAATACAACAATTATACTAATTATTGAACAGAATTGTGGCCAACAAGTCTGCAGTATGCAGCTGTGTGTTGACCACAACTAATTTCAATTACACATTTAGTTTTTATATGCTGTATTTAGTTAGCCAGGTCAAATGTTGAGGCTGTGTGTAGGTGTGTGTGTGTGTGTATGTGTGTCAGAGAGAGATTCTACATTAACATCTAATGCCCATTGAGCACGGATGGGGTATGGGGTACTCCGCGTGTGGCTCCCTTAGCTACAAATTAAAAGAAAAGTACACAGATCAGGCCAAAATCAAAAGCCAAGATAATGAAGAAGGAGGAGGATAGGAGGAAAATTCGCAAATTCGACATGCGCTAAAAGCGTTTGGAAAATGAAGCATATTATGTACAGCAATTTAGAAAGCAACTATTCGACTACACAATCTTTGGCTTTGATGGCGCCAGCACCAGGTATGATGATATTGATGCATGCGGATGACGGGAGAAGCTGCCGCCTTAGTCGCTGTTCTCATCATACGGATGATAATGCCTCTCTGGCTGCGGAGGCGGCGGCGGCGGCGGTAGTGGCTGCTTCTGCTTACCATGGCTCGTCGGACGGCAGTACTTCTCGCTGGTACTCCAGTCCTCCTTGAGGGACAGATTGA